CTAACTCTTGTGGTCTTGATTGCTCTGGCTTCTCAAGTAATATAATGGGTAACATTCCATCTGCCGAAGGCAAAGCCGACAGCACCTGCATTTCCTAGTCGCCCTGTTCGGCACGCAGCTGCCATTGTGAAACGACCGCTGTCCAGCTACCAGGAACGGAAGCAGGACTTCGTTACTGCCGTAGACGATTGCACAGAACTCAGCCGTGTGCCCACAATTGCTGGTCTTGTTCTTATCAGCACCAGCTGCGAGCAGGGCAACGCACAGCTTCCGAGTGGCCATTCAAGGCAGCCAGATGTAGCGGCGTGTGCCCCGATTGGTCAGCCTTGTTCATGTCAACGCCGGCCGCTAGCAAGCAGCGGCAAGCTTCATGACCACCCTGGGCTGCATAATGCCAGGGTGCACACCCATGAAAGTCGGCTTACTGCTTGCAAGCGCCAACTTCCAACAAACAAAACTTCCACATGGCCATCCCAGGCATTGATGTGCACTTCTCGCAATTCACGCGGTCCCTGTCAGCGCCATCTGCCAGCAAACAACGTGCAACCTGTCGATGACCACCCTTGGCAGCCAAATGTAGAGGCGTGCACTGTTCGTGGTTGACTGTGTTTTTGTGAACCCCATCTTCCAGCAAGCAACGCACAACCTCCTCGTGACTACCCTCAGCATAATGGAAAGGCGAGCAACCATGATGGTCGTCAGCCTTATCCTTGTCAGCGCCGCCTTCCATCAAGCAACGCGAGACTTGCACCAAATCGAATGCAAAGGGGTATAAACAGAAGTGTATGCCTTGTCAGCCACAGCTTGCAACAAGCAACGCACGATTTCCACGTGACCACCCTTGGAAGCCAAATGCAGAGGCGCGCACTCTTCATGATTGACTGTGTCTCTGTCAGCCGCATTTGCTAGCAGGCAACGCCTCCTCATGACCACCCCCAGCAGCCAAATGCAAAGGTGCCCATCCTTCACAAGTGAACAAGCCTCTGTCAGCCCCAGCTGCTAACAAGCAATGCACAGCATCCAAATGGCCACCAAGAGTTGCATAGTGCAAAGGCGCGCCACCATAAAGCGTGTCACGGTCATCCTTGTCCACGCCAACCTCCAGCAAGCAATGTATAACTTCCACGTGGCCATTACTGGCGGCGAGATGCAAAGGCGGGCTTCCATCTATGCCCCGAACACTTGGATCTCTGGGCTCCTCCAAGAGGCGCGAAAAGTCTGCAAGATTACCATTTCCGGCTGCTTCGCAAAGCTCAAGCACTTTGCCGCACACGTCAATCTGAAGCTTTGACACTTCCAACCATTCAGCAAACCGCTCCGTGGTCATGACCTCCTCGTCGCCAACTGCTGTGACGACTGCCAATCCAAACATGGTCGGAGGCAAAATTGCCTGTGGCCCGACCAAACTAGAGTTGATCAAGCGGCCCTTGACTATGGAGAACAATTTGCAAGTGACAAGCTTTTCATCAAGGCCAAGAAAGAGTGACGAAGCATCACGACAGCCGAGAAACACGAGTTACGACCCAAACCACTTGGGAGCAATGCCCCGGAGCTTGTTCAGGTGGTTCTGCCCAAAGGTTCACGGAGGGCGTGTGCAAGGGCAACATTGTCATGCATTGGATGCAAGTACTTCTCGCTTTCTGCTGAATGCGGAGCAAACACCAATGCCCTTTGCTTGGCAATCACTTTCAAGGAGAAAATCCTCCCAAGGGGACGCGGATGCCACAGGACAAAGCAAAACAAGCTTCCTCGCCTGCCGATGGGGGCATCGCAGCGATACCCTTCGGAGGCCTGAGCTTCAAAGCAAAACTCGGTGTGGGTCTCTTTGTCAGTTCGTGTTGAATAGAAGTCAGAACCAAACGTGGGCGCTTCCCAAGTGGTGACGCTTTGGGGATTTGAGGGAAGCCTCGAGGAAAGAAAGCTGCCGTTCATTGCCCATAGGCCGCGGGCGGGGAGGCGGTCAGCCACAGCTGTCCCAAAGCGCTAAACGACCTCGCTGCGAGTCTCGTCAGGCGAGGCGTGTCTCCTTGTCTGACTTTCACATGCTCAACACTGGACATGGTCTATGGGTCACTTCTCGCCATGATTCCCTCAACGAATCCAAGGTGGATGTCCGAACTCCTACCAAACCCAAGTAGAGTGGCTCCGCCCCCTGATCCCCAAAACAACACCTGGGCGCCACCGCACGGCAGGCAAGAGGGCCGCACCCTCGGGTGCGAGCGACGGCCAGTTGAAGCGTGAGTCACGCGCAAAGTGTCTCATGTAGGGCCCCCCTGAAATGAAAGGTCGGCCAACATAAAAGTAACACCCTGCAAGGGCAACGTGTCCTGCCGCCCTTTTGTCAACCGCATCCGCTCTGAGGAGAAGGCGCCATCTCTGTGGCCTGCGAGAGATCCAGATCATACAGCGTCAGTGCGGAAGAATTGGAAGACTATCTCCAGAAGCCATCAAGGATGCGTGTGAGCCACGGTTCGTGTCTTGGTGATAGGAAAATCCCTTCACACCTGATAGTGAATATCAATCGTTCCTCATGTCAAGCTTCTCTCTCCGCAACAAAGCGGTTGTCTCAAAATCAGGCGACCGTCAGAAGGTTCGGCTTTCTTTGGGTTTCCTTCTTAACAACCAGTGGGGAATCTGCCCATGTCGCGCCTGTATGATGCGCTGCCTCATCCTCCTTGCAAGGCGGGGCCATTCGCGTTTGGACCCATGTCGGTCTCGCGTTGTCGTCCCTATGCCCACAGAAGTCGTGAGGGCGACATGAGAGCGCATGCAACATGTCTGCCTTGGTCTTCAGCGCAGCCTTCCTGGGCGACACAAGGTGAAGCTGTTAACGGGTTGGTCCCAGTTGGAGCAATCACTGGCCCGTGCCAACGCGTGGCAGCCCGGTCCACAAGCAAACATAGACAGCCAGTTGCCACGCCGCCAGTTTTGAGACATGTTCACGGTCACAGTCTCCACAAGCATCGGACCCTCTCTCATACAAGGCAGGCAAGCCACGCAGCAGCCTTGCTGCCGCCTAGGCCGGAACGAGGAATGTACCCCTAAAAAAGACTGAGCTTTCTCTCGGGACAAGGGACACTTCAGGCTATCGCTTGGTGAACATCTCAATTGGGAAGATTCCCACGCCCATATTCGCAAGTGTCTTGGATTTTGGCCTTACGCTTGGCAATTCTCTGGCCACTCTGCCCACAAAAATACACAAAGACGCAAAATGGGTCCAGGCTGGTCTTGGGGTGCATCGGCTCACGGAGCATCTTGTCCAACCCGAGGCACAAAACCATATGTGACCCCGTCCCCAAACTCAAAAAACGCGCCTCGGATGTCTTCTACCACCTTCCAGCATCAAGAGCGGAGTTGTGTGCACCAGGTGTTTGGGCAGGACAATCGCTCATTGACATTCAATTGGTTTCCCAGCCAGGAACACGTCTGTGCAAGAAATGCTAGCAAGCCCGACTGCGAATCTGATGAAACGATCGCTTCAGAATCCAGAGGCAGCTCTCAGCATTCCGCCTCAATGAGTCGGCAATACTTCAGGTTGGCACCTCCGGTGACGACCTCGGCGAGTAGAAAGCTCTTTCTCCCTCGTCCTCTCTCTTTCCGTCAAACTGCATATCAACTTTACATAGTCTGAAAGAGGAAACAGACCGTCACATACACCCCAGGTGTGCATCGCATGGGAAACCTGCACTCAGAAGGAAGAGAGATGAAGAGAGACAGGGAAAGAAACGGACAGACAGAGAGGGAGAGAGAGAACAAGAAAGAGGAAATGAAAGAGAAAAAGAAAGACCTACTGGCAACTGTTTGGGATCCCCTGCTATCTGCGGCTGGCATATCGCCCACGTCTCCTGCCAGAATCACACATCCCCCATGCTGTCAGCAAAGCCAGCAAACACTCCAAAAATTAGCAAACGCATGAATAGCTGTCTTCATTTTGGTTTACTGTTTCGCCAGTCCCGATACACAATATGGTGAATTTCTTGCCAACCGGGCCTGCTTGTCCAGCTCCTCTTCAGTCATCTCGCCCTAGACCGGAGATCAAGTTCCCAGCTCCGGGGGTCTGAATGCTTTTGGCTTCAGGGAGGGCCAACCGTGTAAGCAGAGCTTGCCGACAACTGAGGCCTATCGCCAGCAATTCATCGTAGCCTTAGGCTTGGCAAACCTCTGATGGCTAGTTCTTTCAACTTGAGCTCATCTTCGGTAGTGATTCAAGACCTAAAAACATGGTAGGGAGCAGGGAACACTAACCGGTGCTTTTGGGAGAGGATATGCGTGATTCCCTCAAATGACCATTCACTTAATTATACCAAGTGCCTGCTCCTCCCATTACGTATTGATCACATCACTGCTGGCAGCACGGAATTTGTGATTCATGTCAAAAGAAAAGCTGATCGGGGGCCGTGCGCTTCACCCGGTCTTTTCTTTTGAGACACAGGCACTTGCCAAAGAGGCCGCATCACAGGAAGTGCATGGGGCCTTGCAACCATCCGCCGGGACAAATCGAATCCGGAACTCGCCTGGTGCCGCTGCCATCCGAAGGAATCTCCACGCTTGAGGACTGCAACCTGCGCTTCTAAGAATCGTTGAGCTCCAGTCACAAACATGCTGCCAGTGCCTGACTGGCTCGAACTCTGCTTGCACAATCAGTCACGGACAAGGCTATCCTTTCCAGGAGAAAGGCATGGATTCCTCTGTCCGGCCTCGGTCTTGCCAGCCTCCGTCTCCTTGCCAGGTGTCGTGAGGCGCCGAGAGGCACCGAGAGAGGTCTGCCCGTGGAAAAGTGGCAGGCCAGCCAAGGCCAGAGGTCTGGCCCAAGTCTCCACTATGAAGTATTAGCATCCAAATGAGTGAGACCCGTGAAAAAAGTTGTCGTGTTGAAAGAAAAAGCGGCCACAAACCAACCATCCCTGGCCAATATCGGAGCGCCCGGTGGAATGTTCGCCGCTTTCGCGCCGGCGTCCGGCCTGGGACAGCAGCACCGAGGCCTCGGATCCATCGGTGCCAAGTGAAAAGTTCTGGCGCCCCGCAAGCCCAAGGCAGGCACAAGCGACAGGAAAAAACGTGGGAAAGACGGCCAAAAGACGGAAGTGAGAGACATCTGACCCCTTCCAACACTCAGAATGGGCAACGTTGCTCTCCGCTCACCCCTCGCCTGGCCAGACAACACTAGGCACTGGCCCTCAAACCAGACCTCAGCCGGAAGCTCGGAGCTTAAATGCATTTGCAGCAACTGTTGGATCCTCCCTCCCCAAATTGTTTATGTTATGAAGTTCCTCAAGACCTGTCCCAAAACGGCTCCTAGCTTAAACACATATCCATCTACCAGCACGCTTGTCAAGCCTGCATGAGCAGAAGGAAAACTGCCACAAGACTCATCGGGGGCTGCCCCGCAGCCCCTGAAAAGTTTCATCCACACCGAGCCGAGCCTTGCATTTGCTAGCCTAGAGGTTCCCCCATCTGGAGACACAAGCAATGGCAAGGGCGCTCGGCCGTTTTTGAGGGGATTCTTCACAAGCGGCTGGAAGGAACTCTTCACCAACACGAGCGGTGAACCGATGCAAGAGCCCTTGGCTCGACTGCCCGAGGCCCTCCCGAATTCTGAGGCAGCCTCGAAAATCCATCACTGGACGGTGGACAACTGATCAGCGAGCACCAAGTGCTTACCTTTTGGTTTTCCTTGAGACCACCCCCAAGATCGGCCACAAACAAGGGACCCACACCCATCTCCCACGCGATGCTTCGAACGGGCCTGTCCCTCCAGGATCTCCCCAGGCTGCAGCTCGTACACCACCGCCTCACTTCGCAGAACTTGGGTGATGTTGGACGAAATCCTCTTGATAGGGTTTGTCCCGTTGTCGCCCATCAGCAGTCTACCTGGGTTGCTTCAAACCTCGAAAGGATAACTCCCGGCCAAAACATCACCCTTTCACTGAGACACGACATGACCCTGCTTTTAGTCGGAATGCGAATTACCCTTTCCGCCAAGAGATGTCAAAAGCAGTTGGACTCCCACACGGATGGATTTAACAAATCACAAGGGAATTCAGCCAACTCCCCATTCCCAGCCTCCCTCCCCCTCCCCCCACCCACCCCGGCCGTCTCAGCAAGCGCTCGCCGGACGCGGCTGGGGAGATGCCGAAGGTTGTGGTTTCGTGCATGGTCCAAGACTTTCAGCACCTGTCGGGCAGCCCTGGAAGCACCCTGTTGTCCAAATGACACTGGAAACACTCCGCGAGAAGAAAGACTTTAAAGCGTTCACTGGCATGGAGATGAGATGACTCTCACTCAAGCAGAAAGCAAAGAAGCGCCGCATAGAAGCAATTGAGGTCTTGTCCCACTCGGCCACTGACCATGTCATAGCCCTCACTTCAGCTGATATTCAGCAGGCAGGCAGCAGATTTCGGGGAACTCGCGGCAAACGCTGGGAAGGCCTCCTCTTTGTGTGCTGCGAGCGCTGGCCTGTGCATTTTATGTGCAGCCAGGCGCATCGATGCATAGGTCTAGCGGCTGGATGGCTGAGTGAACCCCCGCCTCGGCGACGTAGCCGGCCTGGACGCAAGGGTGCCAGTGCAGAAACAAAACATAGCTCAAACTTGCTTCATTGAAGCTTTCCGATAGAACCAAACAAGCTTCCGACCTGAGCTCGAATGGGGGGGGTGTTCTGCCTTATGGGGCCGGAAGCCGCGTCCCAAGCCATGAGGCTTCCAAAGTCCTCTCAGAGACTCTGGGCACTGCTCAGCCAAGGCACTCTTTGGTCGGCTCCGCCTGGCATGGACGTTGGAGAACATGGACCTGGCGTTGGTGAAAAGTCCGCTTGGCCCTCCGTGACTTGGAAACATCCGCTGGCCAACTAGGATTTCAAAGGGCTTGTGCTGGTCCGGCGGACACTTGGCAGGGGGGGCGCCAGAGTGCAATGTGGTTTTCCAGGGTTGGGAACCTCTGGGCAGACAACGATGATGATTTGGACCTTGGGCCAGACCTGACAAGATATGGATACGGCTTACAAATCTACAAGAGTCCATGATGTGTGAAGAAAAATAAGCTCAGGTGATATCCCCAACAGCATCGCACCACCCCGCAGCCCTCGCAGCCCTCGCAGAACCTCGTGGAACCCTCGTGGAACCCTGGTGGAACCTTACCTCATGGCCGCCCCGGACCACCCCGGAGCCTATCTGGGCTGAGACCCCACAGCTTTCAGCTATTGGGGAAAAGTACCTCGGATATGGTTTGGTGTTAGCCTTCTCACTGCCTCTTTGCCCCAATCCCATCCGCGCCTCTTCCTGCTCAGTCAGGTCTACGCAGCTTTCTGGCGCCGCATACCTCGGGCATGATCGCTGGGGAATTCAATTATTCCAGAGAGCGTTCATACCCAGTTGACAAAACAACCCTTCTGCTTTGACTCGCAGCCTGCGAAAACAATGCAAAATGCATCCTTCACTCCTTTCACTGTTCTTTTCAATAAACCAGCCACGTCTCCGGCTTAATTTCTTGGTGTCTGAAAGGAAGAATACCGGGAAGGAACACGGAGGTTGCAAGAATATTGTTTCCAAAAATAAGGGGCCGCCGAAAATTGCCGTTCCTGTTGCTCAAATCCGAGCCAAAAGGGGTTGGCTCCTACACATTGGACAGCTCCATAGTCGACTTACCAACCTCCAGCTGAGCTCTGTGCTTGTGCGAAGCGCCACAGCCCATGGCCTGAGGCAAGGTCTGTCACACGACTGGGTGTGCCAGTCGTGGGGCAAGCACAGGCATCCAAAAAGCACAACATCCAAAGTCGGGCTCAAAGATCCGGCAAAATGGTTGGCAAGGGTGTGGTTAGATTTGGTTGATGGAGCCATGGAGGCAGAAAACCTTGCGGAAAGCATTTTCCTCAGCTGGATGCAGCGTGGAACGCCTGTCAGGAGGATTAACCTCACACAGACTTAGAGAAGCGCTGGTCGCGACAGGTGGCACCCAAGTCGCATGCTCCGACAAAAATGGGAGACAGGTGTGGGATTGACGCTGAGACACTTCCCTGCTTCACCGACTGCCACCAATCGCAAGAAGACAAACATTACCATGCTGGCCAAATGTTTGCGTGACCTCCATGCAGCATAACTGCCGCCATGAAATCGATGTCGGCTCGATTGCCGTGTGGAAATCGCAGCACTTGCTGTGCTCCGCGCAAACAATCAACAGTTTTTCTGTCTGTCGCGCGAAATGTACAGCGCCCGAAATTCTTCGAAGTTGGTCCCGTTGAGTTTGTGACTAAGAACAATGATTTGGCTGAGTTGAGAGATAGCAGCGTTTTGGTCACACAGGCCAGCAAGAGGAACTGCCACAGTGCTTGCGGGATTCAACCTCAGCGGGATGTGTTTGCAAGTGATAAGTAGTCACATGCAAAAGACAAAGAGTTGAGAGGTGTTGCGAAGCTGATTACATCAGCTTGCAGACCTAGGCCAGATATAGCCAAATGTGCTAGGTGCAAAACTCGATGCTCTGCATTGAGTGAGTGGCCACGTGCTTAGTAAGGAAAGCAATTGACAGAAGTTCAAGACATGCTCAAGGTGAGTACACCTGGCATTGCAAAGTTTCAAGGGCACGGGTTTGCTGGTTCTCCGAACCACAAAAAGGTCTTGAAGGTCATCCCACCTGGTCTGCCAGCCGCGCGCCTTGCGCTAAATCGGCTGCAAAAATGCAAAAAGCTCGCTCTTCGCAGGCCTCATGGCTTTCACGAGCCCAAGCTGTCTTCCGACGGCATCACTTTTCCGAAACGAGGGAGGCGCCTCGGACAGCAGCCGCTCGAGCGCACCGTCCGCTCTTCCGCCTTCGCCTGACAGGGCTCCTCGTCGGCCAGGTCGGACCAGGAGCTCTGCCTGAGCGTTGCCCCACTTTGGGATTCTGGGAAGGGAAAAGTTGGGGAAAATAGCCATGGGCCAAAACCCCGTACCCCCAGTAAACATCCCATTCCCCTCTAAAATAGTGTAAAGTGGGTGGTGCACCTACCAACCAAAATGGTACCATTGGTGTCGACCCACAGCCAAATCACAAAACTTTTCAAACACCCGCCGTGTTGCACATTCAGGGCGGCCACGTATTGGGCGGCGTAGGTGGAGGCCATCTCCCGGGTCTCCACCGCCTTGCCCACGCACTCGCAGAAGGAGGTCACTTCCATGGAGACGAGCCGAGACAAATCCATGGCCACCAGGTCCCCTACGTGGACCCAGGGGCTCCATAGACACATCTCCGCCACCCACACGTTGCACACCTCCCGCGTGGAAATGGTGTTGGTGTAGCTGTGTGCCCCGCTTGCAAGGAAGAAGCACGAGCTGGCAATGGCGCCTGCAACGAAGATCACATCTCCAGAAGCATGCACTGCATGTGACATACAGTTCAGCGCCACGTCCCGCATGACGCGCACAACATGGAAGCTGCTATGTTGTAAAAGACTGTTGAAAAAAGCACACTGCCCCAAGCAGTCTTTATGCCTTTGCAGCTGCAACTCAGCTTGCAGGGGCTTTGACAGCAGGCTCAAAATGGGAACCCGCTCATCCGCAGACATCACCTCATTCTTGGCTGCAAAAGTGTATTGCAGGAAGCGAGTGATGCGGTGTGACAAGTCTGCATCTATGTTGTTGTGTGCCAGAAAGCGACGCAGAGACTGGAACTGCTCGATCTCCTCATCCTTCATGCGCTGCAGATTTGCCATCATTGATGACACCGAGCTGACTAAGGTCGAGAACATGATCAGGCAGAAAAAGGCGACAACCACAGAGAAAATGCGTTCTTGCAAGGTCACAGCCTCCACGCTGGTCTGCCCTGCGCCCAATTGAGAGAAAGTCCAATGAAGAGAAGTTGCATAGAGATATGCAGTTGATTCGCCCTCCAAGCCATTTTCGTTCACCCAGTTTGGGCCTTCCTCTTCCATGGACATCATATACCAAAGACACGCAATGACGTGGTTGATCAGCATCAGCCGAATAATGATCTTCACCACTCCATACTGGAGTGAGGCCATTTGCGAAGTGAATTGCTCACGCAAGGACTCGATCATGGAGCCTGCCTTGACCATACGACCCAGTCGCGCCAGCCGAAGAAACCGCAGGGTCCTGATCGTCTTCGACAAACGAGCTACACCCGCCTTGTCATCATCTCTGGCGTTCAGCGCGACAATCATCCAGTCGATACTCACCACAGCCAGGTCAAACACAAGCCAGCCTGTAGCATAGCTCTTGGCAGTCTTCCGCAAGTCCAGGATCAAAACCCCTGCGTCGTAGTATCCCGTGATGAAGGAGAGGAGCAAATCAAAGTTCCAGTACAACTGGGTGATCCATGACATGACCATCATAAACATGGACTCCCCCACATCAAACACGCGCAAAGGGATGGTCACCAGGTCATAGCACAACAACAGAGTGCCCACTGTGTCCCACCAGGCCCTGAAAGGGCTTCCGGGATGTTGAATCACGCGCAGCTGAGCAAAGGTGTTCTGCCAGGGTCTCACTGGAAAACAGCTATGTTCAAAATCACAAGTCGTGAGCATGAGACTGGCTCCTGGTTGTGCGAAAGAAAGTTGGGTGGTGCCACAGTGTAGGTGCCCTTTGTTACCCTTTGTTTTTCCCTTTGCTTTCCCTTGAAACCCAAAAGGACTTCCTCCCACTTTCTTGGGGGAAACCGTGGCTTCGCCTGCAGTGCGTGCAGCCTCTGCAGGGTATTGCCCCGCGGCAGCTGCACGCTGCAGCTGTGCCGCCGGTTCCGCGAGAACCGCTGGCCCACGTCCTCGCTTTGCATCCAGAACTCCCGAGGCTTCAGGGACATCTCCGATGTCGGCTTTTGGCCTCAAAGAAAAGCGTAGCAAGAATCTATCAAAGATCAAACCAAAACCGCCTTGGGGGAACAACATGTTTCAAGAAAGATTCGGAATTTGAAAAAAAAAGAGGAAGAGCATTGCCAACTCAGCTGCCTTCCGAAGTCAACAAAAGGTCTGCATGCTCTGCCGCCGCGCGCAAGTCCTCCACAAAAGGTCCGGAGCTCCAGCGCATCGACACAGCCGGGCCTAAGGACAACAGTTTGAGGTCTGACACGGGCGGCGCATCGAAAGTTGCGGCCAGGAATTCCGGCTGCGTGGGCTGCGTGGGCACTCGCGTGTCAACCTTTCCATCTGCTCCCGCAGTCACGGAGCGCGGAGCCAGCGGCAGGTCGGCCAGCTCGGCTCGTCTGCATGGTTTCAAAGTTGCAGACGCCAGAGGCGGGAGCTTGCGGAGATAACAGCTCTCCGTCTTCTCTTGCATCTGCGCAGCATAGCACTCCCCAAGACGCTTGTGCAGCTCCCAGAAATTGTGCTCCATTACTCCGCAATGCCGCAGCTTGGGAAAATCTAAGAGTTGAGCCGAAGACTGCGCATTGGCTTGCGGGGTCAATGGCACGTTCAAACTGCAGTGCTTCATGACTAAAACGTGAACGCGGGTTCTGAGCTGCAAGCTCAGAACCATCGGGTTCCGATTTCTACCGAGCCTTCATTGTTTTTTGAAATGCTCCTGTTAAAATCCTCTCATAGCTGCGCCGACTTCCTGCAGGATGCACGTCTTGATAGTCCCGTGGCACCCGTGTTGCATCTCTTTTTGAGTTTTGGTCACTAGTAGACCTCTGGAGCCACCATGCCAACCTTCCGCCGGCCAACCGATTCGCCATCTCCAACACAGGGGAGAGAGAGAGAGAGAGAAAAAAAAAAAAAAAAAAAAAAACAAGCAACCACCGAGAGTTTCGAGAACCCTGGCCCGCAGTGGCTCTGAACCACTCTGAACCCAGAACCCCTCAGAACCAAAGTCAGCCACTGCTGCACCCCGAACACCTCCCAAACCCGCTGGAATCCTTTGCAACGCTCAACACCGCCAGACCTTCAGGACCCCTGCGGAACTATCCAACAACCGCTCTTTTAAACCCGAGAACCACTCCGTGCCCGGAACCTTCCAGAGCTCTACAACGGGTCCACGAAACCCTGAGAACCCTCCGGAACCTTCTGACATCCTTACCGGCACCAGAACTTTCCAACCGACGCATGGAACTCCAGCAACCTGCCTGCCAGCAATGCAAACCGCCGACCTTCTGAAATCCTTCGGAACCTCCAGAACCTTCTGGAACTTGCCGGAACCCTATGGAGCCATGAAAATTATGCGATTTAGGGGCTGTGACCAAAATATAGATAAGGAAAGCACGGCGTATGTGACCCAGCACTCAGCAGGCAAGCGTGACTAGGAGTGGGCATGTCAAGTGCGCTGGAGACGGGCTGCACGCCGCGCAAGTGTCAAACGCTTGCAAACCGGCAATCAGCAGGGTGCAACCTTCACAAACATCTGCCACATTAGCAGCATATTCGGTGAATACTTGGAGCGGCTGATCGCAGCCCGAGTGCATTTTGTTCCAAAGCGCCACGCAACCTTGGCTGCCACAGCAGGCTTTACTGCCGAGCTATTCCCAGCACCTCAGCACATGACATCTGTTTTGGATCCTTGACCTCTAGAAGGGCACAAGGTCTCTTCCCGCGCAATGAGGCGCACTTCGGCGCACAGCGCACTTTGGCACTCACATCACTGCGCAATTGTCTGTTTTGCACCCGCCAAGCGCGACCTGGCATCCGATCACCGCACCGACCATGCCGTATGCTCAAAAGGTACATCCCCAACACGGCATGCAAGAATGCACAAGGCAAAAGCGCTTGCTCAGCAAATGACCTGCACAACATGGCCCGCAGCCCCCCAACCAATTCGACACACCTTGGAATCTCCAGCTGCTTCGTCCTCAACACATGTGGTGCAACACCATGTGTCGGCTTGCTTGTGATTACAAACACTTCGGGACTCATGATTCGCTGATGAATACCCTTTCGGCCTCAACTCAACGGAATTCTTGTGACATGTTCATTGCTGATCCAACTCAAATTGTTCACAGCAGAAATGCCTTGGGCCAAAGGGTTCGCCGTGTCCGGTCTTCCATTGGGCAAACAAGGGGATCCTCAAGAACTGTCTAAAACCCTTATGAAGGTCTCGGTCAATAAGAACCAATCAAAAGGCACTGCTGTGTGTTTCGTAGTGGCCAGCAGAAAAGTGGCAGACCCTAAAAGAGGGCAAGCCCCAAGGGCGTGCTCCCGGGTCATTCGGTTTGAGACGACCCCATAAGCCCAGCATGCTGCCACTGCAACCAAATTTGGCTGATCTGACGATAGTCGAGCTGGGCTCGCTTGAGTCTAGAACGAGGGCTCTTCCTCCCTAATTCCTCTTAAAGCCGAAGGCTTTCGGGCATTTTGCCTGCCGGGGGGGTGGGGTTGCTTCAGCAGATTCGTCCTGAATGTCTCTACGCTATTTGCTTCGTGCCAAGCGGCTGGGGATTGCCAGTGGCTCTATGTTGGTCCATTTGTTCAAGCTAGTTTGGGTGCAATTGCACTTCGAGACTTGTTTTTCTCCCTGTGCGGCCATCTTTGCTGAAGAACTCGACAAGAAAAGCAACGGGAAATGGATCTCCCTATTTCATGGGCCCTCGAGGAATGCAATCATTTTCGCAGGCTCCAACTGATTCCTTTTGGAAGTCCCTCCTCCACTGGGCGGGTCAAAATGCCACAATCCTGCTGTATTTGGCAACCACTACAACGAGAAAGGTATGTCCTAAGTAACCTTTTCTGCTGAAAGGGAAACTGGCAATCATGTGCTCCAGGGGAAACTCATGTGTTTTCCTTTTCCCTTTTGAACTCACGTCTTCTCAGCCCACGTCCTCCTTCAAGGGCCGCTGCGAGGCGTCCACGAGGCTCGAGGTCAGCGGCCTCGTCATCTCCTGTGTCGAAACAGGGGTGTTCAGTGGCTTTGCCTGTCGTGGCAGGAGCAGCGCTCTAAAGCGTCTTCATGGGGATGTCTTTGGGGGATGTCTTTGGATGGCTTCGGCGTTATTCGCGCGGTTGTCTTGGGTGATGTCTTGGGAGGGTGAATTTGCGGTTGCTGCGATCACTTCAAAGCGCGCGAATGGATCAACGGATTTGGGCCAGAGAGGGGGTCTCAAGACACAGAGGCGTGGCCATCTTCAACACATTCGCCAGGACTCATGCGTCTCGTTGAGCGCGCCAAGGCCAGAAGCAATCCCGATGAGTGAGTTGAGTTGATTGAGCACGCGCTGCCGTTCATTCAAAGGCGATCGCTCTCTCCATGACGCCGTGTTCGGCCGGAAGCATTCCATGAGTGGCACCTTGTGCAATGAGAGGCTCCAATGAACACGGGGGATGTCTTCGGGGTCTTTGGAGGGGGCATCCCCGAAACACATCACCCAAAAACCGCAAGGACATCCCCAAACACATCCCCAAAGAGACCTTCCACAGAAACCCCCAAAGTGATCCACGAGGACATCGACCAAAGACGCCCTCAAACCAGATCCCCCCAAAACACCCACCCAATACAGCCGCAGAAACGTCCCTAAAGAAACCCCCAAAGATTGGGGGGGTGTGCTCTACCACGTTTTCTTTACCATATATGTTACTCTGATTTTCTCCAAATTCCTCGTATTTTCCCAATTGTTATCTTAAAGGTTTGCTCTTATTGTCTCTAAATGGTACTATTGGTTCTTCAAATGCTACTCTTATTTTCTCTATGTGTTTAATGCTCATTTTCTCTATATGGTGCGCTTATGTTCTCTATGTGTACCCTCATAATTTATCTAAATGTTAATCTGATTTTCTCCAACACACATGTATTGCAAGTCATTTGGCAGCAAACAGCACTTGAGTCTGAATCGACTTTAGAGAAACATAATTTACATCTCGTGAGAAAGTAAGAAGTACTTTTCAGAAAATGAGACTGAACATCATAGAAACGGGGAAAAAAGTTGACAAGACAACAACGGGAGAGGAAAAACACAAAAACAAAACAAACAAACTAAGAGCGACATTGAAAGAACATAATGGCAACATTAAGAACAAATAAGGAGAAACTTTGGAGACAATAAGAGCAACCCCCGGAGAAAATAAGGGGAACATTCAGAGAAAATAAGAGGAACATTTAGAGAAAATAAGACTAAACTTTAGAGAAACAAGAACAATATTTAGACAAAAGAAGGGTAACATGCTGATAAAATAAAGAGTACATTTTGGAAAACACAGAGCATATTTCATGGAAAAGAAGGGCAAAATGAAGGTGTAAAGAGACCCCCTCTAAACGTGATAGAGCAAGTCCATAACCCAAAGATATTCCCCGAAAACAACCGGAAAGACATCTCCAAACAAACCCCCGCAAACATCTTCGGGGATAACTTTTGGGATGTCTTGGGAAAGGGTCTTGGGGGAAGTCTTCATGTCTTTTGGGGGTCTCTGCGGAGGTTGTCTTTTTATTGTCTTGAGTTATGTATTTTTTGAGATGTGTTGGTGGATGCCCTTTTGGGAATTGTCAATGGGGGTGTCGTTGGCGGCATCTACAGGGTCTTCGCTTAAGGCTTTAGTCATTGCGAGTCTCTCCGGGGTGTCTCCGAAGATGTCTCGGGGGTTTCTCGAAAACTGTCGGTTGCGGTGTCTGGTGGACTGTCTTTGGAGGCTGTCGTTGTGTTGTGTCTTTAAGGGTGGCTTTTGGAAAGTTGTCTTTGGAACATGTCTTTGAACATATCTTCTGTGGATGTCTTCCGCAGCTTTTTGAGCAACATCTTGGGGATGTCTCGGGAGATATCTTTGATGCTGACTTGGGGGTTAAATGTTGGGGCGCTTGCGGGGATGTCTTCGGAGATGCAAGGCATTGGGAATGCTTTTGTTCGTGAGGGTATCTTTGGGAATGACTTTGAGCATGTGTTCAGGAAAGTCTGTTGTGTGGATCGCTTTCAAATGTTCTAGGAGGGTTGCTAGTCATATTGTGGGGGTGTCTTTGGGAATGCTTTTGGGGCTGTACATGTCTGCATTCGAGGTGCGTGGACTCTACCAGGTTGTTTGCTTTAAAATTTTAAATAACCCTCATGTGGCTACAGACTACCTAGACAGCTGTCTTTCATTTGCCCCTGCTTCCCTCAGCAGTGGGGGGGGGGGCGGAAATCCTCTTGTATATCTGCGGCCAACTTAACTCGCGAGCCTCAGGGTTGTAGTACACGTCCAAGGTTTCCTAACGGCTCTCCGTCTGAATGCTTCAAAGCCAAACAGCGGCCCTTTTTGTCACAAAAACGACTTCCATAGAGAAGACCGCTTCGCCAAGTGAGCCACTTTTTGCAGATGTAGGAAGCCCTCGCATGAAGAGATCTCATTTGGCTTGCCAAGTTGCGATTGCCAGCTTCTCGTTCACTTTGGCCAGGCACATGCCAATGACATTGTGGAGGTCCTCGGCAAGCGAGCGAGCAGCGAGCCGGGCCTCTGCTTCGGCGATGCTCCTGCGGCATCCCTTTGGGAAAAATGGGAACACGTGCCGGGGAAAGACCGTTGGTCGACGTGGTTTAGATACTCCTCGGGCTTACATTTGTCTAACATGATGCTTGAGAACATGGGTGTTGCTTTCATGTTTGCTGATTGACAGAAAAGTTTAAACAGTTGGGAAAACAATACCTTGCAGACCATAAGACCACGAGACTGGGGACTACAGAAATACCTCAGGAGTACCACACGAGCATTTGAAAGACAAGGAGCAAGGAGATGAAGGGAAAAGGATTGGACAATAGACGATGAAAAGGACGATGGAAGATTGGTTCAGCCAAGAAGAAAGGGAAGACTCGACTAGATTGTTTTATTGCTTCCTTCATTGATTCGCCCCGTGACCGCGCGCGACACATTTGAAGGAATCTTCCGTCTTAGCTTCTTCTTTTTCTTTTTCCTTCTTTTCCGCATGTCCCTACCAGCTCGATCGAGCAATGTCGTCAGCTAGTCAAGACCAAGCACAGCTGCGGGAAAGATCGGCCGGACTGCTCTATGCCGCAACAATGTTTTGCGCTGGTTCAAGATGCAATCACAAAACGAGGAACCGCTGTGCCTTGGTTCAGAAGCAGCAAAGTATGCAACATTCAAAAACTGGCAGATGCTCACATAGCGGCTTTGGGGATCCTGAACAGGCCATGCCGAGCCCAGCTGTGCTCACGAACTCGATCATGTCGAGTATATGATATTATCACTGGCGCACTGAGACGCCTGTTTGGAGACACGCGTTGTTGTGTGCCCTTTTGTCCTTGTGTCGGTAGACAATAAACGGCCACTCCAAAGGGACCTCCATGATCTGCCTATTTGTTGAGAGCACATCAATCACGATGTCGAGAGGCGCAACAGTTGGTTAAAACTCAGGACAACTGGATTCGCCTTGGGCGAATGGAGCGCTCAGATTGAAGACAGCAGCTGTCTTGGGGACATGTTCCATGATTGGTTTAGGCATTCCCCGAATCGCATGACAAACGGCACTTAGTCCTGTCCCCGCATCTGATCTATAGCCACCCGTACAAATCGTGTGTCTCACAAAATAGCATCTCGACACGGATTAGCCGGCAGCTGGGATCACTTTCACAGCAGCTTTTCGACGTGGACAGCAACCACCGGAACGTTCGTCTTCGCTTAAAAATATGTCGGACTCTTCATCCGCCAGGTCCGAGAGGATATTGGTTTCACTCTTCTCGTTGAGGGCCTCCACATATTGGCTGGCGTAGGTCACGGCCATCTCCCGGGTCTCCACACTTTTGTTCACGCATTCGCAGAAGGCAGTGACCTCCATGGCCACCAACCGCGAAATGTCCTCCGCCACCAAATCCCCAACATGAACCCAGGGGCTCCACAAACACATCTCTGCAACCCAAATGTTGCAGAGCTTCTCTCTTCGTTGATCCTCCCACATGTAGCTATGAGGGCCACTGGCAAGGAAATAGCATGAACCGGCTATGGACCCAGCAACAAAGATTACATCTCCGCTGGCATGCACTGCGTGTGTCATGCTCTTCAGTGCCACATCACGCATGATCCGCACGACGTGCAAGCTGTCGTGCTGCAGAAGGCTGTTGAAGAAGGCACACTGACCCAAGCAGTCTCTATGTCTTTGCAGCTGCAACTCAGCTTGCAGAGGTGTTGACAGTAAGCTCAAGAGGGGAAGCTGATTCATTGACCGTGCTTCGTTCTGAGCCGCAAGTGTGTATTGCAAAAAGGTTGTGATGCGATGCGACAACTCTGCGTCTATGCAGTTGTGCGTCAAGAAACGGCGCAGCAATCTTAGTTGCTGACTCTCCTCATCTTTCATCTTTGCAAGACGTGCCATTAGAGATGTCACTGAGCTCACAAGTGTGGAAAAAACGATCAAAGAGCAAAAAGTCACAAACACCGAGAACACGCGCTCGTTCAAGTTAACAGCGTCAAGACTCACATACCCAACACCGAGATTTGCAAATGCCCACTGAAGGGCGGTGAAATAAACAAATGCGGTGGATCGTCCTTCCATCTGATACTGTCTGACCCAATTGCTCACACTCTCATCGGCTACGGCGATGCCATACCAAAAGCAAGCTATGGCATGGTTGATGAGGATCAGCCGCACGACGATTTTCAAAATGCTGTAGTGGATTGCGGCGGATTGCGAACCGAGCTGATCTTGCAGAGAGTCCATCACGGCCCCTGCCTTGACCATACGACCCATGCGAACTAGCCGCAGAAACCGCAGGGTCCTGATGGTCTTGGACAAACGAGCTACACCGGCCGTGTCGTCATCTCTGGCGTTCAGCGCGACAATCATCCAGTCGATACTCACCACAGCCACGTCGAATACAAACCAACTTGCAAGGTAATGCTTGGCAGTCTTCCGCAAGTCTAGGATCAAAACCCCAGCGTCATAGTACCCTGTGATGAAGTTCAGGAGCAAGTCACAGTTCCAGTACAGCTGGGTAACCCATGACATGATTGCGGTGAAAGCCACCTCTGGCAGGCTGAAAAAGCGCAAAGGGATCACGACCATGTCATAGCACAACAGCATCATGCCCAGAAAGTTCCACCAAGCTCTGTAACGACTGCCTGGATGCTGCATCTTGCGCAGTCGTGCGGCCCTTACACTTGCCACGCGCTGGTCCTTGATGAGGAGGTTGTTTGAAGTGTGGAACATGACACTTGGCCTGCGCACTTGTGATTGGCGATGCTTGACAGACTCTTCGCCATGTTTTTGCCAAAACTCTCTCACGTTGAGGGACTGATTCAACTCGTGGCCCAGGCTCGCCTCGGACGACTTGCCTGCCTGCTGGATGGCGCGCAAATCCTCCAGGAAGGGCGCTGAATTCCAGCGCTCCGAGACCGCGGAGCTGCCCAGCAGGTTGAGCTCCTGTGGCGAATATGAAGGCGGTGGGTTCTCAGCGCCACTCGTGGGCTTTTCCTTGGTGACTGCTAAGGCTGACATTGAAAGTAACGAGCTGGTCTTCCGCAGGCCCGGGGAGTTCGTGGGCCAGCCTTGGAGGAGCCGGAAGCTGGGGCTGTTCGTCTCCATGGCCTTCTTCTCCGAGTCATAGCACTCACCCAACCGCCGGTGTAAATCCCAAAAGCTGTCCTCCATCTTGGGGACGCGTGGCGTAAAAAAAAATCAGATGCTAATGGCCGCCAGCATAGATCATGTCGGATCATGCTTGATCATGGCCATGTCAATGTGAGAGGAAGCATGTGCATGCTGTGCTCTTCACTGAGGTTGCTGCCCCGTTGCCCTGGTACTTCTTCCCATTCTGAAACCGAAACGAGAAAGCAAAGGGCACGAAACCCATCGCACGCACCTTGTCGGTGAAGGTACCGCTATATTTCCCAAAATGCCTCCACTTGAAGAGCAAGTTTGGCGGCCCAGAGTAGACCTCTCAGCTCGGCGGCACGTGTTGTGTGACCCGAGCCTCTCTCTTTGCCTCCAAGACCTCCCAAGCGAAACCCTCCGGGAAGGCGTCGCGGAAGATCTGGGAAGCGGCAAGTGCAGAGCTTCAGTTTGAGTTCACCTCCATATGGGTATGGGTCAAAATTAAACCACTAGGGGACCGCAGGTTTTAGTCCATGTTTCCATTTACAGCGTTCCATTTTGGGCACATATGTTGGACCTACAACCATGTAAGATGAGATGTGTCAAACAAGCACTGGCAGGCGGTCAAACGCATACCCATCACTTGCCTTGTTTGAGGCCTCATGCGTAACAGAGGCTGCCGCATAGTCCTCAGTTGGACGGCAGAAACTCTGACAGTTGCTTCTGATCCGACGCATAGCGACACAACAACTTCAAGGTAAGTGGACACCTCAACCTGTGTCTTGGGTCTTCCAAGCATGCAAGAGTCCATTGCGTAAAACATCTGGACAACTCAAACCCAGCTCTTGTGGGCCTTTGACTAAAACTTGCCAGGCTGGCCAACGTCTCGCCCACCATGATGTTGGCCGCTCCCACTTCGGCCATGAGTTGCGCGTTGCAGGGGCAGCCGCCGTTCACGGCCAGCTGCCAACGCGATTGCGTTTGTTGCTCGCTCTCTCCTTCTCTCCCCCCCTCTCTCTCTCACTTCCTTCACTTCACTTCGCTTCACTTCCTTCCTTTATTCAGGTCGTTCTTTCTTTCTGTCTGTGTTTCTTTATATGCATGTCTTTGCTGATTTGTCAATCGATTTATTTGTTGTGTTGACATAGATTTGTTTCTTTAGTTGTTTTTGTAGCTTTTTTTCTCGCGCTCTCTCTCTCTCTCTCTCTCTGTCGCTGTCTTGTCTCATCTGGGTAGTGTTTTTGTTGCCTACGCGAGCGCCTACGCAACGCCTCCGCGACTGCAAGGGGCGCCTACGCGCGCACGTTTGTCTCTTGTCGCGCCTACGCGGACGCCTACGCAAGAAAATCGCGCGCCGCTTTTTTCCAGCTCGAGCTTTGCAATGCCAAGTCAATCGTTGTCCGACACAGATGCAGATGATGTAGAAGAAGCAAACGATGTGGAAGATGATTGCGCCGCCAAAGCGTGATAACATGTCTGATTTCCCAGGGATCCCCTGTCGTGGCTCTGAATCAGCTTTTGAGCGGTGTTTTTTGGTTGTTTCGGGGCCTATTCACTACTTGGCGCCTACGCGAAGGCCTACGCAAGGGGCGCCTACGCGATCACAAGTCAGCTTCCAGGTGCCTACCTACGCGGGCAAACGTTGAGTTCAAGTATCGAAGTGCACTGTGGCAGCTCCAGCTGGAAAATCGCAACTGTTCAGTGCAAGTGCAGTTTTGGCAGCTCCGGCTCTAAGATCAGAAATGCAGTACAAGTGAGAATCCAACATCTGTCCAAGGATCTGGCTGCTAGAAAAGGTCTACGCACCCAACATGCCTTGAAAGCTTACAAGAATTCCTACGCGGGGCCTACGCGGAGACTACGCGAAGACTGCAGAACAAACAGAAGGAAGGCAAAAGAAGCAAATTCCTTCATACGTGGCAAACAGTCATGATTTGTTCAACAAACGCCAACGCGAAAAGCCTACGAGAGGGGTGACACAACAGCCTACGCGCTGAAGCTACGCGAGCCTACGCCCCCAACCAGGATTGCCTCCGCAAAGTACATGCAGTTCCCTTTTTGTATAAACTCTTTCATTTGATTAAAAAACGCTGCTCATTTGAACAGTGGACAGCCGCCATTATATGGGCGTTCGTTTTACTGGGGGGCCAACCGCTTTGACAATTCTTAGCCATGTTGGTTCAAGAACCCTTTTCTCAGTGTGTCTGCAACAACTCAGCCAAACCATTGTAAAACATAAAGCTTCAGACAATACATTCAATACATAACAACTCCATCAAGTGCCTACACGCGCGCCTACGCAAGAAAAAATACAAGGATGTGCGCGAAATGCCTACGCGACGCCTCCGCGCGCCTACGCCCCCCAGCTAAATTGCCTAAGCGGACATGATGCAGTTCCCTTTTTGTATAAATCCTTGATTCCAAGAAAAAAACGCTGCCCATCTGTCTTTATGTTTGTCTTTATGCTACTTTCTGTTCTTCTCTTTTGTTTTCCATGATTTCACGCTCTTTTGTCCGTTGTTACTTCTGTTTTGCAACTTGTGTCTCTGGTGTCATTGTGCATCATGAGTTGCAACCGGCGCTAGGAAGCAAGTGTTCCAAGAGTTTCGGATCATCATGGTGCTTCAGTATGGTAAGCGCAAATATTGTCGCGCTGCTTAAGATACTCAGTTTGGTCAACAACGTGTGAATGCAGTGCCGTAGTGCTTTTGAGTGTGTATCTGTCAAAGTTGACACCTTGCAGAGAAAATTGAATTGCCGGACATACTGACACCTTCTTTGCAGGTAACACGATTGATGCCGCTTGCCCCCTTAAAATGCTGCCTGCCTCAATTCGCTGCTCTATTAGAGCATCACAATGAGGCAGCATCATAACGGGGCAAACGGCATCAATGATCATGCAAGCAATGCGGCAATATTGGAGGCGCAGCATCAGAGTGCTGCATGAAGCAGAACTAAGGCTGAATTCGAATGGGCAGTATCACGATGATGCAGACAGCATCAATGTGACGCAAGCGGTGTCATTCCGACGCACCGCGACGATGCAACAAATATCAGGGTGACACACGAAGACCATGGTGACACAAGCAACGCCACAAAGGTGAAGGCTACGCATCTTGGTTATGCAGGCACCATCACGACCACCCTCACAACAATGCCATGACGTCGCCTGCAGCGTCATCATGACGAAAACAAACTCCGCATCACGGGGCGGCGGCATGGACGCAAGCAATACTGCAACGATGTCAGAGACATCACAGTGATGCGTAACGGTGAGACAAACAACTGCGCCATAACAGACGCCACATTGCGGCGACGCTGGCATGAGGCAAAGACAGACTAGGCGCATCACACTGGCTCATAATGCCACACAAACTGCGCAGAGCATCTGGCAGCGAGCCAAGCTGCTGGAAGAGAAATGGAGTCTATGGGCTTGTTCACTCGGCCAGCCACCGAAGATGTGTCCAAATCATTTGAAATGAAAAGTTTAGCCAGGCTTGGCAGCGAATGAAGCTGGTGGACAACTTAATTTTCGTGAGGCCGGACGGCAAGTGAGGTTTCCGACGCGCAGAGCTGAGAAGCCATGAATTCGTTCTTGGCGCAGTGCAACTAGCGAACTAAGCTGGGATACTATTCACTTGGTTTACTACAGGCGGGCCAAGGGCGAGAAGATTTGGGAGGCATGGGAGCCAAATCGGCTCCAGCAGGATTCGAAGCTGGGACACAAACGTGCAAGGCTTCTGGTAGACAGCCGCGCGCGGTTTAGATGTCAATCAAGAACCCCCTGGACAGCACATGAATTTCCTCTGCAGCTAAAGCGGTCTGGTTTGAAGGGCACGCGCTAGACACCTGCAGTTGCACACCTTTCAGACACATACATGAGCGTTGCAGCTCTCTGTGGACATGCTGCGCGACTGAATACTTCTTGCAAACAGCAATAGCCGGCCTTGAACTTGGTAACATCCATGGTCTTCCACTTGTGAATGTCCTCGCTTGGGACGCACGCACGCCGCAAAAACTGTGAGGGCTCCATAGCCAAGGTGCGGCGATGTGATGAGCTTCGACCTGCCAATTCTTCAGGATCCTCTGCACCTCATGGACCCATGGACCCATGGACCAGGAAGTCCCGCGGATCGGCCAATGCGGCGAATTCGAGACCCGGCTTCGCCAAGCCACCAGCGCTTCCAGAGTCCCCTCCTGATGCGCCATAGTCCGGTGCTGGAAATAGGCCTTGTTCAAGGTGGCCTTGGTCAGAGCTCAGGTGCCGTCTGGGAGGACAGAGAGAAATTGAGCGAATTGCTGGTGGGAATTTCAGCGAGCTGACAGAGTGTAAGTTGCTCATGTGCCACCCAGTGGCATAGTCTGGCTTTCCCCAGCGCCAGCTGGAACCATCTGCAGGCTCATAGTCTCCTTGGACATGCATTGGCTATTTGCCAACGGATATAAAGGCCTGAACCCAGGAGGCTGGTATAAAGGCTCCAACGGATCAGCTCACCGTAGGTTTCCCCGCGTGACCTCAATCGACGAGAGCCATTGAAATGAGGAAAACCGGATGGCAAGCCCGTGACTGTCGCATTGCGTGGCCTTTGCCATCCGGCGCCTAGGGCGCCGACTCATCTGACAGGGCCATGAGCCTGACAACTTCCGACTGCTTCATTTCATTCTCACTGCTTGAATTCCGTGCCTTTAAAAAAGAAAAGAAAATGAACAGCCCTCATAATCTGGCACCCCCGTTGACAGCTAGGGAGACCATGGCACATCTCTTTAAAGTCAGAGGGTGGTTTTCGCTTCTCAAACCCCTCGCCTCAATCACCTGATCATGGCAGTGCTAGGGCCGCACAGCTGCGCTGTCAAGCCCGGTACAGAAACGAAGGGGTTGTCATAAGCAAGACCAAAATGGGCCAAAGGGAAACCAGCCAAACCGAAGGAAAACGTAGGGTCCCGTTCACTCTGCCACAAACGGCCCTGTGCGGAAGGCAAAAGCTCGCCCATTGGCAATGATGGTGGGCCGATTGCCTGTGCATCGCACAGCCCACTTTTGGCTGAAAGGCTTCACTTGTCGAGCGTATCCAGCTGCTCCTTTGTGCCAACCTTGGAGCTTCTTGGCACAATCAAAGCTAGCAGGACCTCTTCTCGGTTCGCTTGAAAACGAAAGCCATCAGTCAATGGGACCGAATCTGACCACAGGGACTTGCCCTGGCTGCTGCACAAGCGGCTGCAAAGCTATCCATAATCCTTGGGTGAGCTTTTGGCAAAACCAAACATGGGGAAGATCTGCGTGGTATGTGGAAAACGATCATTGCTAATTCCTGTGGACCAACCTTGTCAGACCGATTCCGAATTTCCATTCCCCAAGAGCGCCTTGATCTTCGAAACCCAACGCCCGCCAGGTCTCTGGTTCACCTGCTCTGCATCCTCCTTCCAGCTCTCTGAAGGCACGCTGCACTCCTCAGCGCAACGGCACGAATTTCACACGTACACCAAGGCGAGATCAATGGTTAGGGGCAATTGCTTCGGAAGCCTCGATTCCTGAGAATGTTCATCACAACAGCTTCAGAGCTTTCCCCCTCAGCCAGAAAGAATTTGACCTCCCCCCCCCCCGCCGAGTGGATGCGCCAGAAGCCACCCGGAACCGGCGCCCCTTTGATGTGAGGTGCCAGGATCCACAGGGCGTAGGGCGGCTGACCCTTGGCGGAGGTCACCGTGGTGGCCACCTCCCAGTGCCTCAGCGAAAGTGGCACATGCGAAGGCAGCTGGGAGTTCATCGGCTTAAACCAAATGAACCTCGTTAAAGGGAAACCAAGGTGGAACAAGAGAATGGCGCAAGGGATGGCCCGGGGACCAACCCCACCTTTGGCGCGATTGATGTTGAAGTTTGACCGGGACATGAGAAATACAGCGATGTGCGGCCCCCAACGGTTGGGGGGGTTCCCATTCTAGCATCTGTCACCCATAGGAAGTTGATGAGCAATCTGTCGAGCTACTCCCAACATTGTTCGGGTGACGTTGAAGCTTGACTGCTCTTTGGCTGGCTGCATGGCCCATCAGCAGGGCAAGCAACACCTCCCTCGCGTGTCCTGCCGCCTGTCCCCACACGAACAGGTCACACAGAGCCCAGCCAGCGACTCTGCCTTCCTGTCGAGAGTTGCCTATTTTCGCAGCCCTGTCCAGAAAATCCTGAGCGCATGAAGCATTGGTCTCTCATGATTGCTCTCTAAGTGGTGTGTTGTTATAGAGGAAAGAGGTGATAGTGTTGTGTAGACAAGTCTGTGCCTGAGTGTAGGTTTAAGAATGTGGGGTATATGATAAATAACAACTGTTGGATATATATTTTTTGCTTGTTGTTTCTGCTGTTTCAAATGCAAAGATTATAAATGATGGAAACACGTATACGAACATTAAATATATATATATATATATACATATATATATATATGGCACTTCATTTGCCAAACTAAGTTATACTACATCAAGTGGCTGTCTTCACTCAACAGGTATTCGGCTGAGGAAATGCTCCAAGAATCTTCCGACCTTCTGAGCAACTCAGAAAGTTGGGGTGGATTAGGCGACTCATTGCAGGTTACATTTCGCATTTGCCGCCCAGCTGCCTCGCCGTGGTATCTAGCTTGTCCTGGCTCCCTGGCCTGTGGCATTGCACCGCCTACTGGCAAGCCGACCCAAGAACAGAATGAAAAGGAACCGACAGACCGAGAGGACAAACTATGCACAAGCAGTCATTTGCGTCCAACAGTGGCTATTGTGCGGCTTTCCCAATCACCTGAGCCGCCTGTGGACTATTGCCAAGGTTTCTGCAGTACACTTCAGGACAGCCCGGCCGCATGCTTAGAAACTGTGGTCGAACACCGATGTCACACCTGCCCACGGCTCAATGCACGGTGCACGCACGTTGTGAAAGACATTATGTCACCAACGCAGTCTTCCTTGGGCGCACCCACACCCAAACCAAAACCAACTGCAGGAAGTCACAGAAACTTAATCAGCACAACTGCTCGTAATTGCTTGGGAGTAAATGATAGCTAAACCTACTCTCTCACACGCGCACACACACACACACACGCACACAGCACAGAAACCCAGTCTGCCTCTCCTGTTTTGAAGCGAGCCAACTTCGCAATCCCACGCGTGTACTGTAATCCAAACACCTTGTGTGGTTCTTGCCACGTGTAGTCCGAATCCCCAGAGATCTCGTGGCCCGTTGGAAGCCTCCGACGGAAATGCCCAAGGCCTGACGCAGATCTTCTGCCCCTCGCTCTCCATCTGGGCGCCCTCACAGCGCGACACGCTAAATCCATACCTTCGCAGGCCGAGAGAGAGCGATGTGACCCACCGCGCATGAAGCCAACCTAAAAGTAACACGTGGTCTCTTAAAGGATACCGGCTGCCAATTACAAAGGCCGGGGGGTGTTCCTCACGTGCTTGCTTTTGGGTCCCGCGACGTCTCTCTAACCATTTGGGAGTTTGCTTCCCAAGCCTCAATTACTTAGTAATGTCCCTTCAAACAACATCAATTTCCACTTGAACAAACAGTGAGCAGGAATAGAGGGATCGGTTTTCCCCGAGGAAATGCTCACTGTCCTCTCGAAGACCAGAGAGGTCGACCCTCCAGCCAAATGAAAAAGGACAAGCCGCCTACAGTACGCCCAATGAAGTCACTTTCAAGCCGGCTGTGAACCAAACCAAGTCCACCTTCGACCACGGCACATAGGTCTGCCAAAAACCAGGAATCTTAAAAAGATTCCCCGTTTAGACTGAGAAAAAACAAAGAAAAATAAAGGAAAAAACGTGTGAGCAGAGCTTAACCCCCCTGACATTTGCTGAGAAGCAAGAATAGCAGAGCCCATCCAACCAGGGCGGAAAGGAAGCCCTCACTCGGTTCGGTACAGACACCGCGCGCCTGAAACTTCAAGGGCGGACGGTCTGGGGGAGGCAAGTTGGAGAAATTGGGCGGATTTCAGGAGATGCAAACCACTCTGAACCCCTTGCAACCCAATCCAACATCCGCTCCAGACGAAACCACAAGCGCTCCATACAACCCCCTACAAATCCAATTCCAATGCCAACATGACGCTCAAACCCATCCAACCATCCGAACCCAACCGACCGCGCCTCAGCAGGCGCCCGCTGCTCCGGTCAAACAACTTCGACTTCAGCAGCTTGAAACCTCTCGCCAGGGTCTGGAACAGTGCCATGTGAAGACTTGGGACGTGAAATCTACTCTTCACATTGCGCATTCTTTATCAAAATATGTTTGACCTCTTCAGCCTGCAGGACTGGTGCAAGCAGGACAATGTGTAACGCAGGCATCCTAAGTTCCCTTACCCAAGCCAATTCGCGCAAGCGCATGGCGCACGTGCTTGGCCAAAATGCAAACAACTGGATTTCGGGGTCGGCTGTCTCTGAGACAATCCCAACTTTTCGGGCTGAAGTCAGCCCCGTCCGAGGCGCGGAAGGTCGAGGGCTTCCGCTCGTAGCTGCGGCTCAGAGCCTCTGCGGCCTGGTCCTGGCCACGTTGCACGGCGCATTGTTGGGCACGCGTTTGTCGGAAGAATGGAGGAACCCCCCAAAAAAGCAAATGTCCGAATGTGAGAGAAGATGGCTCACGCAGCTGCGACCGTGCTGATTTTGGCCCTAAGCCAGACGATCGAACTTGGTTGGCGGGTATCCGCGGGCCCCTCCGGCAAACAGGTCACTTAGGGATCGCTCAAACGGTTCACTTAGGGATGACGGTCACTTAGGGATACACGCTCACTTGAGGATCACATTCACGGATCACTTAGGGATCACATTCATTGATGACGGAGGTGGGGAGGGGGGGGGGGGGGGTTGGTATGATAAGCACACCCGCTCAACTGCTGCAGACCAGCCTGCTCCTTTACCGGATTACAAAGTATCTGGGGAGGGGGTGGGGGGGGGGGATGATAAGCACACCCGCTCAACAGCTGCAGACCAGCCTGCTCCTTTACCGGATTACAAAGTAACATGGCTCTGGGGAGGGGGTGGGGGGGGGGTTGGTATGACAAGCACACCCGCTCAACTGCTGCAGACCAGCCTGCTCCTTTACCGGATTACAAAGTAACATGGCTCTGGGGAGGGGGTGGGGGGGGGGATGATAAGCACACCCGCTCAACAGCTGCAGACCAGCCGGCTCCTTTACCGGATTACAAAGTAAAATGGCTCTGGGAGACCAGCCTGCTCCTTTACCGGATTACGAAGTAACATGGCTCTGGGGAGGGGGTGGGGGGGGGGTTGGTATGATAAGCGCACCCGCTCAACTGCTGCAGACCAGCCTGCTCCTTTACCGGATTACAAAGTAACATGGCTCTGGGGAGGGGGTGGGGGGGTTAATCCCAGGCTGTTTTTGACACACAGACACTGCACAACACCTCGTTACGGCTTTATAAAGATACTCGTATGTTTTTCAAAGACCGCTTTTTAGCGCACACTGATTTAATATACCTCCTTCTGGAAACGATGTACAACATTGTTTGGTTGCCCTCATGGTATGATAAGCACACCCGCTCAACTGCTGCAGACCAGCCTGCTCCTTTACCGGATTACAAAGTAACATGGCTCTGGGGAGGGGGTGGGGGGGGGGGTGATAAGCACACCCGCTCAACTGCTGCAGAATAGCCTGCTCCTTTACCGGATTACAAAGTAACATGGCTCTGGGGAGGGGGTGGGGGGGGGATGATAAGCACACCCGCTCAACTGCTGCAGACCAGCCTGCTCCTTTACCGGATTACGAAGTAGCATGGCTCTGGGGAGGGGGTGGGGGTGGTTGGTATGATAAGCGCACCCGCTCAACTGCTGCAGACCAGCCTGCTCCTTTACCCTCGCTCAACAGCTGCAGACCAGCCTGCTCCTTTACCGGATTACAAAGTAACATGGCTCTGGGGAGGGGGTGGGGGGGGATGATAAGCACACCCGCTCAACAGCTGCAGACCAGCCTGCTCCTTTACCGGATTACAAAGTAACATGGCTCTGGGGAGGGGGTGGGGGGGGGGGCAATGATAAGCACACCCGCTCAACTGCTGCAGACCAGCCTGCTCCTTTACCGGATTACAAAGTAACATGGCTCTGGGGAGGGGGTGGGGGGGGCGGATTACAAAGTAACATGGCTCTGGGGAGGGGGGGGGTTGGTATGATAAGCACACCCGCTCAACTGCTGCAGACCAGCCTGCTCCTTTACCGGATTACAAAGTAACATGGCTCTGGGGAGGGGGTGGGGGGGGGGGCATGCAGACCAGCCTGCTCTTTTACCGGAGTACAAAACAACATCGTTCTGGGGGGGGGGGGCTTGGGTGGGGGGCATGATAGGCACACCCGCTCAACTGCTGCAGACCAGCCTGCTCTTTTACCGGATTACAAAATAACATGGTTCTGGGGCGGGGGGCTGGGTGGGATGATAAGCATATCCGCTCAACTCTTCTACCGGATTACAAAATAACATGGCTTTGGGGGGGGGGGGGTTGGGTGGGGGGATGATACCGCATCACATGTGGTCTTGTTTGGTTTCATTGGGGGTCGTGCTTAACAGGATCGCAACCATCTAACCAAAACAGGACCCACATACGACCTCTGAAAAATGGAAGGGTCCGCCACTGACATGTCAACACGCATGCACACAACCACATACATGGACTCGCCAGCATACATAGTAACATATGTCATGAAACATACACGTCACATATGTCATGCGATACACACGCCAACAAGCACAAACAAGCGCATTCCTGCTCGCGCATGCGCGTATATAAACATACATCGCCAGGCAAACATATCAACACGCATGCATGCGCGATAAGCCTTCTGCAAAAAGCGATCCCGGGGCGATCCATTTGCGCGATCCCTAAGCGAACCATTCGCGCGACGCCTAAGCGACCCACTGCCCCCCTCGAGCCCCATGGCACATAAAGCAATGCACATGTGGGATCAACTCCTGACTGGGCCCATGTCTCTATTCAGAGCAACCCAAAAATTGTTCTTGACCCCACATCGACGAATTTCGGACGAGGTCTGCCCCGACTTCGGAGCCACTTCGCGATTAGCGAGATTGACTTCTTCTGCTACCAGCTTGAAGGTGCAATTGTACAGCGCTTCCAGGCTACCTTTCACTTTGGTCAAGGCATCGGCCACCGTGGCCTGGTGGTCCACCCATCTGATCTGGCCCTGAACGGCGTTTAGGTTTTTGTTGATGATTCGAATCTCAACGGCTCCATGATTCACTTGGCCCAATCCTTCATAACGTACTCGGGGTCCTCCAACTCTCCGATCAACACTGTCAACCGCAGCAGGCCACCGATTCCCCGAAAACGGCTTTGCGTCTCCGCGGCCAGGGTGTATATTCACCACTCTTAGGTGAACAGGTTTGTCTTTGCCTCTAGTCCGTCTTGAAGTTGCTTCTCGTAGGCGATGACTACCTGACCCCCTTATTGAGAATGAAACCCGTTGTTGGCGAACGAGGCGTCCGTAATCACTCCGCGGCGCATCTGCCTCAAGGGCTGAACCTTCAGCGTCAGCTCCGCTTTCTCCTCGGCTCTTTTCATCATCTTGTTGATGGCTTCCTCTACGATCAGATCAGGCCCTTGAGCTTGCTTGACAACAAGCTGGCCTGACGCTGCTTTCTATCTTGCGTTCGGCCCTTCTCCAAAGGAACTGCGCTCAGCCTTTCCTCCACAAACTTCTGCGCGTCCACCAGAAATGTTCATCCTTCAACTGCCGAATTCTCCGACCATTGAAGGAAGCGCCGTTCTCCTCCTCCATAGAAGGTTCACCCGATTGCCGAACTTATACCTCTGCCGCAACTCACGCGTTGTTCTCTGACGCAGGTCGTCGACTTCGATGGCTATGAGCCCTTCGTCCTTGATACAGCTTGTACAAGCATGGATCCGCTGGTATCCCAGACCCACCAGAGAGGCTATGAGCGTCCGGCGCCACTGCAACGGTGCATCAATAGCCTCGCCGTGCTCTTATTCTTTTCGGGGTTGATGCACTCCCTCGCCCAGCGTCCTATTGCTCCACATCAATTGCGCCGGGTCCGACGCTTCAACTGCTCGATGCGAACCCTGGAATTGCCCTTGCCTTTGCCCTTGGCGAGGCGTGACTTGAACCCACCTTGTCCTTTGCCCAGAAAGTAGCCGCGGTTCGTCTTCTGGCCCCTCAGCGCCTGCCGGATGTCGTGGCAGCTCGCCGAATAAGCTTCCCGCACCTCTTTCTCCTCCAAGATCTCGTCCAAGTCGCCGTCAGCCAGGTACACGTGCATCCTCAAAGACCTCCCTTATTCAGAATGGCGAAATTCTTCTCCACTCTCCCCAGGTACTCGGCAAATCCCTCCTTGTTTGTGGCGGGTTTGCCCGTGGATGGCCACCTCAAACACCCTCGGCAACGACACCTCTAGGTGCGGCATGAAGAATTCCCGTAATTTCCTCATAGCGTTGCTCACTCCGTCCTCACTAGCCACCTCTTCAAACTCCAAGCTATCCACAGCTAGCCTCGCAGTGCCCGTAACAGCACGCATCAGCTTTGTTCCTTGCTTTTGCCCCGGCACGTCTGTTTCAAGCTGCCAGAATTTGACATTCTTCTCATACTGTCTAAACGTGGTTTCCGGCTCCACGCCATCGTAGCTGGGCGGTGGCTCCCTGTCCTTGTAGCCGCCAAATGCTGCTGCCTGCGTCTCTGGCCCTTGAGCTTCCCGGGAACCTGCCGCTGTCGACTCGTCCTGCACTGCACCCTCAGGCATGGATCCTCACGAGGCTCCGCTGCCACTGTGAGCGAAGATGGCTCACGCAGCTGCGACCATGCTGATGTTGACCCTAAGCCAGACGATCGAACTTGGTTGGCGGGTATCCGCGAGCCCCTCGAGCCCTATGGCACACAAAGCAATGCACATGTGGGATCAACTCCTGAATGGGCCCATGTGTCTATTCACACCGAATGGGCTTCAGGGCCAGACCATCTGGCTTTGAGTCCTTGGTCATGCCGGGCTGCTCTGACAGGAAGAAGTCCAGCGTGTTGGACTTGCCTTGGCTCGGGCCAAATGCTTGTGGCTTGGGCTGGAAGCTTCAGCCGCGCCGCTGCTGCCGAGAGGAACCCGCAAGAGCTTGATTTCAGACCTTGGATCCAAGGTGCTCAAAGAACAGCTTGAAGCAGAGTGCAACTCTGCCCAGAGACTGAGTGTCAATCTGAGACAAACACCTCCAGCCTCACCCTCTCAAGGCTTCAAAAACCAATTGCTGCCAGTGCGGCTTGCTGGTGGCGCCTCCAGAGAAAAGCAGCGTCTTGGAACCTCCATCAGTAGGGGCTGCCTCCTTGACGAGAGTGATCCAGTCCTTACCCAAAGGGCCGAGGTCATAACGCGCATTCCAACGACGGCTTGCTCTGCAGGTCCAGAAACAGGCCAAGATTCAGAACAAGCCGTCGGGCAAAGAGATATGCCGCAAGTCACCAGCAACTTCACTTCTGAAAAGCACAAAGCTCTCCCCTTGCCAAGCGGCCTTTGGCAGCCGAATCTGCCACCCCACGCCCGATCCGTCGAATCGGATGGCCTGGGATAGCTCCGAGGTCTTTTCCTCGGCCTGGGGGGATCATTCATGGAGACCATTGGCCATGTCTTTGAATGCAATGACTTGACTGAGTACTTCACAGCTTACCTCAGCGCAGCTGCCACGCAAGCACTTCCTGGCACTTCATGGCCTCCCTAGCCACAAACCTCCCCACATTGCCGTCAGCCTGCGCCGGCGCTTCCCGCGCCACGGCCCAGCCACACAGCAAACCGCCCGCGCAGTGCCGACCTCAAGCGTCAGTGCAACCTCCAGCTGGAGCCAACTTTACGAAATGCCAACCCATTTCTGCGGCAAGGCAAGAAACACGTCCCGAACACCAGATGCATTGTACCATGCCGATGCCGTCTCCCGGTTATGCTGGTGCGCGTTTGGAATGCCCATTTCGACAGCCCAGCCACGGCCCGGCACGAAAGCCCGGTGCCAGCTGCACCAGACAGCGAACACCAACAAAGCCCACCGTCGCATGACGTGCAAAAGCTGACAGCTTGTAGACTTGCTTGGGTTGCGCTATGTGAAGGATCTGAAAAAGTTGGGAAATGCAAACAGCAGCTTTGGTGTCTGTGTTCGGACGTGTATGTGTCTGCATGTCTCTGAGTGAGCTAGGAGCGTTGGTGGCTGGCTGTGCAAACCAGTCATGGCCACGAGAAAGATTCTGTTCTGCGTCATAGCTCGAGGCTCCGGGCAGCTTCAATTTCAAGTCCCTTGTGCCTATGACCCGGTTCAGCTGCGGACATGTGACGCTGGGTTGCACACGAGGCACACAACGCAAATGCGAACACCTGCAGTCTGCTCTCTGAATAACTCCCCGCGCTGCTCGGCTTCGACTCAAGTCGTCCGGCACGAATCGATCTTCGATTCAGCGGAGAGCTATGGCTTGCCTAAGTTGCTCCTAGAAAGGAAGCCTGAAGCATTGTACCTCTTAACTGATCTCACTAAGAGCTGTGCTAGTTTCTTGCCCTCTGACGGCTCTGCTTGATCTGATCTACCACGCCACAGTCATCAGCGGGTTGTAGATCTTAATGAAAGCCTGCGCAATGCGCCACTTTGCCCTTCGCAGCTGCGTAATCCACCTGCCAGGCCTCTGTTGACGCAGCCAGGGCCGGCGAGATGTCGTTGTTCTTGAGGATGACCTTGCCAGTTTTGACTGCATCAAACATATCAGTGCCCCTAAACGCGTTCCTCAGCTTCAAGCGAAAGGCAGCTCATCTTGACAGATTGCTAGTTCAACCGTACTTCCCGAGCTGCCCGCCAAGTCGATCATGGAGGTCAGCTGCTTGGGGTTCCACAAAGACCGCTTGTGCTCCTGTCCGGGCAAATCAGGAAAGCAGCAAACTCAGTAGCCGTTCGCGTTTTCAAAAGACTAACAGTGGACAACCAACATGCACTTCAAACCCGAGAGGTGAACGATAGTCCAGAGCTAAAGCCAAGATCTCTGGCCTTTCAACGGGCCCCGACTCCCAGCAGCTTCCGCGTTTTCTGGAAGCACGAAAACGGAGCCCGGCCTTCTGGAAGCGCTCCGTCAAGGAGTGCACACCCGGCCTGGCAGCAAACAGGGAGGACCTTTTCGTGACACAGCCGTGCTTCCCAAGTCCGAAAAAACGTCTTCATGGTTGCAATGGATTTGGCCAGGGCAACTCTCCGATGTGGTTGCCCTCCAAGTCCAATGTCTGCATCTTTACCATCCTTGGCAGCGCCCATGTTTGCCACAACAATGCACAATATCCATGACAAATCCGCCGCAAGCAATGGAGCACCCTTTTGTCTGGGTCCCGCGCTGGTTCGCGCTCATGACAGACTGCAATCCTTTACAAAACGGCTTCTCATGCCCAGGGAGCACTGTAAGAAAAGTCATGCTCAAGCAGCCCAAGCCGGCTCGCTCCTGCTGATGTGATTCCGTTGTCCCGAAGCCCTGGCAAATCGGATGCATGAAATGCTGCTTTGAGGCCATGCAGCACCACTTCTTCCCGCCTAAATATCTCAGCGAGCCCATGATGGGAACCTCGGCCAAAGTCCAAAGCCACGAAGATGGAATGTCGCAAGCCCCGGAAGGAAACCTTGAGAGTTGTTTGGTCCAAGTTTTGGCATGCGCCCTAAGGGCCCTGCCAGAAGCTGGAACCCTTCATCTCCCAGGTTGCAGCCAGAGAGTTCCAGGTAGCACAAAGAGAAGGACTCCTGCGAACTTCCGTGCGAACATGCGAATGCGCGTAAACACACATACAAACAAGCAAGCAAACAAACAAACAGACATCAGTGTCAAAACAGGCCCTGGTGCTGCGTCCGCCTTGTCATTCTGATCCATCCATTTGACCATGTCAGCGCCTCAGCTGTGGCTTGCCAAATAAAGAGTCGAGCTGTGCGCAGGCGGGTGACACCGCTTCAGCCGTGGCGCAGCCACGCGGACCCAGATCGTTGTAGCTGACGTCCAAACCTAGGTTCAAGCCGATAGACGGCGCAACAAGCAAACAACATTCAAGGGCGTCAATGTTGGGCAAAAAGTCACCCTCTGCGCTGCTTTGCGACTCCAACTGACTTCATACTGCACTGTGCTCCATCATCCCTCAGCCGGGAGCGCTGGAGGTTCGGCGAAAGCGACACCAGGCTAAGCAGCATGGCCTCTCCGCTGCCAAAGGTTGCAAGCTTCCACCCGCAACAAACAAGCCTCAAGCAGCCCATCTTTCAATGGCTTGGCCACAAACCGCAGTCCAACCCACGACCTGTGCAACCCACGACCTGTGAGAACATTGGTATGAAGTTGGTTCCACACTTTGGCTCGCTTCTTTTCACGCCTGTTCTCCGGCTTCGGGTTGATTCTGTTTGTGAGGGCGGTTCAACCGAAAGCCTTCCGGGGGGTTGAAAGCTCCCCTTGGAGCCAATGGTTCGCAGCGCCTGGGAGGTGTTCGTCAGGCCGCACCGCGAGATCCGCAAGTTCGTGAGCCCGATGCTGAGACCTCCGTCGGGTACGCCGCGGCGTGCAATGCACACACAGCCTTCTTAGGTATCTGATGTGCGCGCAATCCATCTGAACTAAGATGGTAAATTTTACTACCGTGCTTACTGACCACACTCAAAGTACCCTGCCCCTGAGGGCTTATGACATGCTCGGACATGTTGACAATATTACCACACCGATGGACCAAACACGCTACCTGGCATTGTCCCTTGCTCCAATGATCAACCCATCAGTCACAACGGAGTGGGCCAATCCTATTTTGAGGCTGAGGTTACCTCAAGTTAGTTGAACCCCTTCATTCCTAACCAACCTCCGTTCAGCTAGTGAATCCCAATGCAAGGCCCGGGCTCTCAGCGATGATGCCTAGCCCTTCCTGGGCAAGAGGGGGTCAAGTGGGGGATTGCGAGTGGCCTCCGAAGTTTCACCCTCGACAAACCAAACATAAACACAACAAACAAAGAAAACAAACAAACAAACAAGCAAGCAAACAAACAAACAAACAAGCAAACGAACAGAAAAAAGCACATGCAGTGCATCCAGGGATCATCACCAATGGGATTGTTATTGAGGCTCAGCTCCTGGAGGTCCTGTGCGCGATTGAAGCACGCCATGCCCAATGTACAGCTCCATCCACCTGTAAAGGCTTGCACCCCGACCAAGGGAGCCCGTGGTTTGGACCATGTCGGTCTTGAAGGGCAACTCCACAAAGGCGCATGGAAAGGTCCCAGTGGTTTTTGCGCTCGGGTCTTTTTTGAGCTGTGGTCTTGCCCCAATGGCTTGCCATAAGGTTGCCCGTGTCCTGCGTCTCCGCCGCGCCCTGGTCCAGGAAATCGTCCATGGCGTCAGCAGACAGGCCCATGTCCTATCAACGCACCCAGCGAAAGGGTTGCCATCAGTGGCAACAGTTGGCAAATGGAGAGGCGACTCAAGTGCAGCGCTATCCAAACTCCAAAACACCAAAACCGGGCAGTCCTCCAAATGCAGCGTGAGCACCCTGCTGTGCTCGATCGCGCTGCCTTCAAAGCGAGAGCATGCTCTGAGCGGCAAGCTGGAATGCACCCAGGTCAGGGATCACCCCAAACTGCACCGGGCATCCTTGTGCGTGGTTGATGAGCTCACGACCTTCACACTCCAGCACGCCTATCTGCGATGGTCCCAAGTTGTCCAAATGGTTCCCAGAGATCACCAGCTTCAGCAGCGACTGGCAGCTCCTCGTCGTGGCATGTGGCAAGCATGACGTCGGAAGCAAAATTTGAACGCTTCAAGTCGGGAGCCAAGATGTTCACATGGCTTGACACAGTCTCTTGTTGGTTTGCTCGGGCCAAAACCCATCGAAGCTACCGCGTTTGGCAGTCTTCATCATGTCTCCGATGGACTCCGAGGCCGTGTCGCTAAAGATCTCGTTGTGCGCCTGAGGCCAGCTTGCGAGACTTCCCACTTGGACCAGAATCGACCCTTTTTGAGACAGACAAAATAATAATACACAACTGACCGTCTCTTGGATTCCTCTTTGGGGCTCCTTTTAAGGGAAACCAAGCTAACATTTCACACGGGGAACCAGGGAAACGCCGCAACTTCCGACCTTCCCAAAACGCGAAGCTCCAAGTTCCAGGCCAAGTTCACCGCCTTCAGCGAGGACTCGGCCACTCCCGAGCAGAACTCCACCGCGCCGTCGTCGCAGAGCCTGCGGCAAGCAAGCGGCTCGGTGTCCCGTCGCCGGGTTTTACTTCGGGGTCCTTTCTGGTTTCTTTCTCCCGAAAAATCGACCCCACACATTCATGCTAAAATCTTTCTTGGCCACTTGGATTCACTACCACGGCAATCACAAAGCCTGGGCAACATTCGACGCGCGTCGATGAGCAGCACTTAGCTCAAGGCATGTTATGTGCCACTGAGACTTCTTGCAGCTTCTCATGATTCCTGCATCGCAAGGGTTGCTGCAGGCAACGCCCTGAACTTGCTTGAAACAACACCATCTGACTCAAAATGCAGTGCTGTGGATTCCTGTCGCCTTTGATGCAACCAACATTCAACCATGAAGCACAGTAAAAATACAAGAAGCTCACGCCAAGATCAAATGTCATTGCTGAATTGCAGGGAAAACGCATGTCATCTACCTTCTACTCCCCCAGGAAGGGTCCTGAGCAGCTCCCGAAGAGCCTTGGCTCCCTCCTGCGACGTATGAAAGGCCAGGAGGCTCACTCATGCAAGAGCAGCCCTCCCCTCGCTGAAGGTGGCATAAAAGGTGCTAGTTTTGCGCTTAGAACCTGCGGCACACATCCATACATCATTTGGCGGGTCAAAATCCAAATCGTACCCCCGGTGAACATCCCAATCCAACCACTAAAATAGGAAGCCTAGAATGGGTGGTGAATACAATACAACCAAAATGGGATCCGATCCAAAACGGTTTTGACCACAGCCATGTTTGATCCCGTCCAGCTGGATGCCGCACCGGTCCAACTGCAGCTGCCGCAGCCGAGAGCAGCTGAAAGCCGGGCGAGCGAAGGATCGAGCGGAAGTGAGGGGCTCGTGAAGTGAGGGTCTTCACACCTTAAACCCAACTGCGCTGTTGGCAACCCCCCATGCTTTTGTGTTTTCTATGCTTTTTTGGTGTGCCGGCGTGGGGGCGCCGGGGGGGGGGGGGAAGGCTTTGTGGCCTTGTTGCTTGCCAGTGATGGCAACACGCTTGTACCATGGCCACGAGTGTACAAGGCGAAGCGTAGCCAGCAGTGACACAAAAGTACGCTTCCTGCTTGCAAAGGATTGCTTCTCTGTGCATTTTATGTGCAATGTGGCTAGAAACTGCAGTAAGACTTACGTCCATATCTGACCTGGTGCGCATTTCCAGAGTTTGACAGAGGCGAAGAGACAAAAGTCTGGGCCTTTCTGGCCTTTCACACAAGGCTGAACAGAAAGGTCAGAGTCCGTGCTAGAGCCCTGAGTGACGCCGGATCCTGCAGGTGTGTGCCTTTGACACACGAGAAATGGTGTCATGTCGGAAGCATACAGAAAGCAATGTCGTGTTTGCGCAAACACAGTTAATCACGAGGTGCAAACCACAGCTGCCGTTCAACGCACCGTTGCCTAGTTTGACACGTTATCACGTTATCATGTCTCTGTGGCTTCTTTATGGCTACTTTATGATCACTTCAGGAGCAATACAGAATACGTAACAGCGTCCATGACCTTTGTGCCTTGCCGTCATACTTCTTAGTTTATGGTGATCGCGGTACATTGAACGTTGACGTGGGCTTCTACCAGTCAATTTGGAAGAAATAGGATCGGGTTTCCCCCCCCCCTTCCATCTACCCGTTCCTTTGGACTCTCTCGAGAAGCCCCGGCCCTTTTGGTGGGGTTCTGAAGCCTGGTTTCATCAGGATAAACAAAATACGGCCTATTAAGACCTCTTTAACCTGAGCCTGCCACCCTGTGCCGAACTACTTGATTACCTAGGGTGATTTGCAAGTAGAAACTTGATGCCGCTACTGCAAACGGTGAACATTGTCGCCTCCAAGATGCCTGGGTGTTGCAGTTTTGGTCCTTGAGATCAAGCGGAACGAAGAGACCTCCCGCCTCTCGAGCGCTTCGCAAAGGGTCTGAACACCTTCGCATCCCAAAGGGTTGTTCGAGAGGCACAGCACGTCAAGCCTGGTCGAAGATCGGCGTTTCCCAAATGCATCCAGAACCCCAAAGCAAGATGGTGAAGACCGGTCACAAATGGTGGTCCATAAAGGACCCACACTTGCAATTAAAATAGGCCCTCCCCCACCATCTGAATAGTGGCAACCTTCGACCTCATTCGGGTTTTAGTCAGCCTGCGCTCACAAAAGTGGGTCACCTCGCAATGGCCACATGCTGGAAACAAGAAATGGACATGGAGGGAGGTCGGCCATATCTATAAAGCAGCCCAACTCGGCCGCTTGGCCTTGTCCTGTCCATGCCCTCCATGCGGCATCCAGCGGATGTGAGGCCTGCAGCACTCAATGATCTCACTGAGCTTTTGGCCCTATCGAGAAGCAAAACATAGTGGTACGCAAGGGCCCCGCCCAACGCAAACCAAATGGGCGGAAAAGCCGCAGCTTCCCTCATCTTTTGATTGCAGCTCAGTTGGCGGGGCTTGGACACACAGCACAACTGCCATGTGCAGGAAGTCGTTCTTTTGAAAACCATGGCACAAAAATCAATGGTCGTAGGAAGCACATGGCTCTGAGAAGCAAGCCGATGTCATTGGCACGCAGGGCCTGTCGCAATTTCCAGTAGATGATCTTGAATCGCTTTGGATGAGCAGAAAACGCACTCGCACAGCCTCAACAGCACAATCTGGGGAAAAAATCAATGTGCAGCTGCGGCATTCCCACAAAAGCCACTTCTCAAAGCGCCTTGAAGCAGTTGTATCGTGAGATGCCTTGAACGATTGCCTGGAATCCTAGAGGGCCAAGTCAGATTTGACTGTTTTACTGACAAACGTCCTCTCACAAGAACAAACCAGTTTGGAGAACACAACTTAAGCAGTGTGTTCGTCTAAGTATACTTTTGGGGATTTCATCCAGCCGAATCATAACTACTCACCCCTTATGATGCATAGGAAAGAATGCTCTGCCACGGGTGAGGTCGTTTTGGGGCTGTCCTGCGTCGCCAATCGTCGGGTTCTGCGACCTTGCAAGACACCACGCTTGGCCATCGCGCAAAGTGCGCTGTATAGACAACCGCACATTTACACCGCGCATTTATTGTACCAAGTATAATGACTGTGTGTGTGCCACGAGTGCAGAACCCAAAAGCAAAGCTGACGCATGCTTGCAGCTCATGGGGCTCCCGACACATCCAGCGACGTCACGCTATTGAGATCGTCCTTAACGGGCTTTTCCTTTGTTGGGTCGAACTCCTGGCCGGCAGTGGTGTTGAATATCGAGCTTCGGACTCCGGGCACTGTCCAAACAGTCAAACAAACCAAATCCCTGCAGTTTGGCCCAAGCTCGCAAGCTCAATTCTTCTCCAGGTCGTGCATTCCATGGCAGTCAGCATAGTGCTATCCCATGAAGCGTGCTACTCAAAGAGCCCAGAGCTGCGTGCTTTAGAAGACTCTTGCGCATGGAAAGCCGCCTTATGTCTCAGTCCTCGTCCTCATCATCAAAGGCATCGTCGTCATCTGAGGCCTGCAAAGCACAGAACCGGTCAGCGTTTGTGGCTTCAACGCGCAAGGCGAAGACAGCTGCAGGTCTCGACTCGCCTCGTCCTCGTCCGCAGGCTGCTCTGCCGCCGCCCTACGGATGCAACATGGCCGTCACGTGAGCGAGGCGAAGCGAGGCTGGGACCATATCTTCGCCAGCTCCTGGGCCTCAAGCGGGGGATCAACTCGAGGCCGGAAAGCTCAGGTTCGACATCCGCGGACATGTTGTAATGACAACAGCGCACCCCCTCACCTCGGATTCTGGGCACTCGTGCTGCCTCGAGCCCTAAGTCGTTGTTGCGCAGCACCAGAACACGACAGGGTCGAGTGCGCTCGAGTTGCCTGCCAAGGGTTAGAAAGAAGCTGACAAACAGTCGGAGTCTGAGTCTTGAGTCCCGCCCGCGCCTGTCAGTGAGGCAAAGAGCATGAGTCAACATGCTGATGCTGGTCACGTTAATGCCTCACAATACTAAGAAAACGAGCAAGTATTTGAAGCCTTCAAAGAAAACAATAGGATAACAACCAAAGAGGTTTCACCACAAGCGCCTTGGGAAGATTTGGTTCCCTCTCCAGCTAGCTGCACAATCCTTGACTTGAAGCCCTTTCGCGAGACTTCAGCACCTGACCATTGTTCGAGAGGTCGATGCCTTCCGTCCTGAGCTCCAAAACCCGATCACCTCACCTGACTCGCAGTGGCTCTTAGGGCTGTAGGGGCCTGGCTCGTTGCCAACCACCACCAGGGCAATGACCAACCTGGGCACGGCGAAATCTGAGCCAAATTTAAAAAAGGCAAGGAGCTGTCGTTGAAAGCACGTCGAGGCTGCAGCCAGGACATGCAAGGATGCTCCAACCAATGTTCTGATCAGGTCATCTCGGATTGCACCCCACACTGAGCGCCGTGCTTCTTGGAGAAGTGGTTCAGCTTAGCCAGAAGACCGTCGTACTGACCTGCACTTGATGCCAGCCAGCTTTAGCTTTAGGCCAGCGTGGTCTTTTGAGGCGCGCAGGATTGGGATCGTGTGGCACCCCGCAGCGAAGCAGCGAACCGCGACGCCCCGCCGAGTTCCGGCGTCTGCGTGCCACCCCAAACGTCCGCGAAGTTCAGGGCCGAGGCCTCAGAGAGTTGCAGTGAACTGCCCCAGACCCCGCTGAAGTTCTCTCATTGGAACCTGTTCCCAACGCTAAGTGGGTTCGCTAAAGACTGCTGTTTCTCTCCTGCCCATAATTTTAAGTTCCGGACTAGCAACCAACTCTGGTGCAGTTCAGTTTGCTGCGGCAAGAATTAATTGTTTTGCAACAAAATATAATATAGTCTATAAATTGTTGCAAAACAAGCAGGGCCCTTAATTCTTGCCGTAGGAAATAGTTTTATCTAGCTGATCCTCGGGAAGGTTGATTTTGCTTGCAAAACCAACATCAACAATTCAAGTTCAGAAACTCTTGCTCCAACATCCACTCCATGAGCCATGACTTCCTGGCAGTATTGACCGCTGAATGGGCCATCAAAGAAGGTATCAGCTCGATGCAAGACAGGACAGCAGTGGACCTAGTTGGTTTGAAGTCAGAAGTTTGCTTGGATGCTGCATGGGTTAGCGGGACTTCTGGGGGGCCATGGCCTGGTTTAAAAAGGAAACACCCAGGAGGTCGGGAGTCAAAGCAATTGAATGTTTAAGATGTGGGTTCGAAGTCGGCATTGGAAACCCGCTCCCGGGCCCCCGGCATACCAAGAGGTCTCCAAGAAGCCCCTCTTCTTGACCCGTCGCCACACCTGCAGACCCAAGAGCCCAAGAATCGACGAAGGCTCGGATGGGGCTTTCTTGCTTCCAAGCCGCTTTGCGTGGGTAGAAGTCGATGCCTCAAGAGAAGCCAGGCCGCCCACCCACCCCACCCCGCCTCCCCCCTAGACCTGAGTCGTGCCCCCAGCCGAGCGGCCAGAGATGGTGATCAGCTCTATGCAGTGGCATTCAATCACCTGCAAATCATCCCTCTCTGGCATTGGATTCAATTCGATTGGCTGAGTCGCAGTGACTTGCCACATGTGCCCTCTGCAAGCTGCGGCGCAAGCCGCGCCAGAGATCTGGGCCCCCTGCTGCCATCATGAGCTGGGCCAGGTGTGCATTCTCCACCGACGCCTCGTAGCGCCTGGCTCACGCGAGGGGCGTGAGCGGAGCTGGCAGATTGGCGTGGCGCCTGTCATCATCTTTCTGATCCTGGGTGGCAGCAATCAGTCATGAAATATCTGGACAGGCTTGCAGAGGATGCAAACGTGGGGAGCCTCTGGTCTGTTCACCAAGCCGGAAGGTGGATGTGTATTTTCTCCATCGCGTTGCCCTGACCCAGCCCTTTCGCATCCTTGTCTGTGTACACAAGTTGTCATCGTTCCTATCAGCCACCTACTTTTGCCAAGCGTCCATGACGAGCTTTTGGAGCGTCAAGGTGTTCTGCAGCACCCTTCCAGCATGTGAGATGGGAAGCGAGACAACCGTGCAGGCTTTGTCACACTGTTGATGGCCCAAACGCGGCAACAGCGGAAAGACTTCGGGAACGTACCCACAAAAAAGCCAAAGACACGTTGCGCAAAATAAAGTCGGCGACCTCATATCATGTTTGCATTGATTTCAGTGATTTATGGAACCAGCGGGGCGGCCCCCGGGGCATGATTCATGGCCCACTTTCCGGCGGCCTCACCACTTCCTTCACCTCGGCCATGCTGAAGTCCCAGAAGCTCAAGTTCCAAACGCCCCGCTCCTTCCGATCCAACAGGTCAACGGTACAGATCCACAGGTGACTGCGAAGGAATTCTGTGTATGGCTTGGAGTGTCCAGCATTTCTGCATATGTGTCCCAATCGGGGCATGCCCCGTGGCAACGGTGCCCCTTTTGGTGTCTTTAACCCAGCCCGTGGGGGCAAACTCTCATGGCTGCACGAGGCCTCACACCAGCCGTTCAGGGCGTTCACCGCCTCTGTGAGGAAGCCCTCGGGGAGATGCTTGGCTTGGGCGCCTGGCATTCGATCCCATGCGATGCCCCCCCTTGGAATGGAAATAAATGCCCCCCCCTCAAAAAAGAAGAAGAGGCAAAGCCGTGCCTATCGTGATGAGCTTGCTGCGCAGGTTGTCGTCGTTTTCCCCGAGGATCTGAGCGGGCACGAACATCACTCACAACATGAGCTATGATAAATACTCAATATGGTGGTAACCCTCAGCACTATGACGGCTTGACCGTGGCTCACATCACAAGCGCTTTCTCACTTCTTTCCGAAACCTCATTGCCCCATGGCGCTCGCCGTTGCTGGTGGGTCTCTTTCTAAGTGACCCCCCCCCCCCCGGAAACGGTCTTTCCGCTTCCTTGTGTTCCACCCAACCACTCCCCCGCAAAAAAATGGTGTGTTTTCAGCCCAGGATCGAGCTTAACGTTGGCAACTCCCTCCCTCCAACCCCGGCAGTTGCCCGAAATGTCCTTAGTGAACTCGATGCCCTCATCCACCAGCTCCTGGGCGTCCATCCAGCGGCCCAGCTTCACGTTGAGCAGCGCCGCGTTGTGGCAAGTCAGCGACAGGTAGTAGGCCTGGAACCGGGTTCCGGATGAGCAAACACATGGGATTTCCCTAAAGGCGAAAATACCCGGATGTTGAGGACACCGAGGGGTCGATTTACCCAGAAAAGACATCTAGCCGACCCTCCATGTTTATGTTAGTCCCCATATTTGGGCATCCAAAACAAGAAAAACAAGCATGCGGGACTATGCGGGGGGACAGACTCTGTGAAGCAAATGATGAAGGCACTGATGGGCGTCTTTCGTTTGCTTCCTGCACTCGCAAAACACCTGGCGAATCCGGGCCTGCACCATCTCAGGGAGCTCCACAGTCGAGAAGATGTTGTACATCATTGCCAGCGCCTGACCCACACTAAAACCAGACGACGGGTGGCCCGAATGCATTTAGACGGCTGAGGCAGCTTTTAAATCCGAAGCATAATCCCACCAAGCTTTCGGCAAGAGCATGCGGGCATGCAAAGACATGACAATGTTTGTCTGTGCAGGCTCTCTGTACAACAGTATCTGCACATAATATGTTTTTTACCGCAAGTTCTCTGCGCAAGCTTTGTCTGTTCAAGTTCTTTTGCGCACGCTTTCTCTGCACAATTTTCCCTGCCAAGAATTCTCTGCCTCTCTGTGAGCAAGATTTCGGCGCCACCCCCCTGCCCAGGAGCAATGCGACTTCGCTGAGCAGGTTCGCTCCTTCTTTAAAAGACTACTCCACTTCCGAGCACGGATTGTATATAGTTTTACGTAGCTCCACGTTGCGCGCGCACAAAGATACTTCACTTGATGTGTCACGCGTCGTCACACGTCAAAATTGCTGCACAACTCTCTGTGACATCTCAACGTGATTGCATGCGCAAGAACCAAGTAAGATCTCTGCGTAGTTCTCTGCGCAATCTCTCTGCGTTCTCTGACATGTTGCTCTGGGGGCTGTAGGTCTGTGCTCTAAGCAGGCTTCTACAGAACTTATCTGTGTCGCTCTGCGGGCTGTCTCTCTGTGCAAGAAGCAGGCCATCATACCAGAAGAACCCTTCGTAGTGCTTTCGGGCAAAACGCCCTGGCCAACCGGCCGGTTGTCTTCCATCCCCCTTTTTGATAAGGAGCCTCCAGGCCCCACCGCAGGCCCTGCTCATCGTGGTCGATGTCTCCCAGAACAGCGGAGAGGTTCAGCAGAGTCAGCGCCTGTCCACTCCAACTGAAACTTCGAAAGAATCAACAGTGAAACTCTCGGGGACCCAATCTCCGGCCAAAGAGCAATAAGCAGCGGGTGCTGCTGGGTGCTGTCGTCCCCCGCCAGACATAGGCTCTTCGCCTCGGCCAGCGCGTCAATGGCCTTCTGGAAAAACTTCACGCGCCGCGCAGCGCAGGCCAACACGGACAGAGTGATGATCCTGCAAAAGGATCACAAAGAAAACACAAATGCACCGGCAGGTGTGCTTGTTCTTTCTTTGGCATGGCCGATAGAAGGATCCTTCAAATCAGCCAAAAGTAGTTCACACAATAGCCAACCTGCAGGTGGCCACTGATATGAGTGAGCCCTTTGGACCAACGCAAAAGGGGGGCATGAGACCCAGGTTTGACAATGTCCCAAGTGGTTTCAACTCATAGCAAACGCAAAGGCAAGTGCTTGGTCACCTCAAGAAGTCGAAGTCGGCATCCGGATCAGTCTGGAGTCGCGGCTCTGCAGACTGCGTGGCAGGCAAGCAGTGCCTCACAAAGCCAAAGCAGCTGAAATGAAAAAGGCAAGTCATTTGCATTGAAATGGAGAATACGAACACGCGCAACGCGTGGCATCCAAAAGCTGCACCTTCAGTGCCCTTACGCCAGGCTGCTCACACAGCTTCATGGCAATGCGAGCCTCGCGCGCATCGAGATAGGCCAAGGCCATCTTGCAGAAGCCCATGACGGCCTCCAAGGCAGCGCCTACATGCGACCTGCCTCAAAACCCACCTGCTCAGTCTGCTCAGTCTGCTCAGTCTGCTCAGTCTGCTCAGTCTGCTCAGTCTGCTCAGTCTGCTCAGTCTGCTCAGTCTGCTCAGTCTGCTCAGTCTGCTCAGTCTGCTCAGTCTGCTCAGTCTGCTCAGTCTGCTCAGTCTGCTCAGTCTCCCCGTCTACAAGAGGCGCAAGGTGCTTTCTGCAACGCAACAGCACGTTCCAGCGATCCAATTGGCTCCGGCTTCTTTCTGCATACTCTTCGCCCCAGCCTCCCTGTGGCTCTGCTTGAAGTCGTCATCGAAGGCGACAATGCCCATCTCGCAATGCTTCAGCTTCTCAATCTGGTGTGACATGCGATCAGCCATCAGCGTTGGCCACTTGCGATGATAAATGTCCTCAGCAACAAGCCATTCCCGCAGCTTTCTGCTGCCTGTGCCCTGGTTACGAAGCTTAGCCTTCCTAATGATGCGTTCACACATACATGATCAGGGGGCTTCCACCCCCCTCTGTGGAATGGGTTGGGCATCTCCCGCCCAATGCGGTTGATTGGTTGATTGGTTTGTCACGCAGGGCTTGGGAGGTTACTTTATAGTTGGCTAGGAATGGGCTCCGGAGAATTGGTTGGTTTAAGGCTGGTTTGGGCTTAGCTTGGGTTCGGTCCTAGATGAGTTTTGGGTTGTCTTAGGGCTTGTTCAGGAGGGGGTGCTGGCTGGTTTACGGTGAGTCTAGTGTGGTTTAGAGAGTATGTTATTTAAGGGTGTAGAGATGGTATCAGGTTGGTTTGGCATTAGTTTAGGCTGGTTTTGAATGCTTAAGGAAAGCCTGGATTTGTTTTGCAGCCTTAAGGAAAGCCTGGATTTGTTTGAGGGCTGGTGTAGAGTGGTTACATGGCGGTTGTGTTGGTGGGGATCACTCCAGAGATGGTCTAGGAGGTTTGGGCTTGCAGGGCTAGGGGCGGCCGGGGGGGGGGTTGCAGCCCAGACCCCGGGATCAGACATACCTGCGCGCACACAGACGTGCACCTCATACCTCATGCGCCTCACGTGCCAATCAAGAAGCTGTCTGGAAGTACAGTTTGTTGGTGTAGCGTTCGTCCCCGAGCTCCACTGGGGAGAAGTACCTCAGCATGTAACCTGCTTAGAATTTGACCAAAACCGTCTCGAGCTTGACATCTTGCTTGTGAAGACCAATGCTTCCAGCTCACACTTGCTGTCATGCAATTTCTGTGTAGCCCAGCACAGCCGGCCAATGTACCAAAAGTGGCCCTGTCAAACCTAGCCGACAAATATAAACAACAAAAACAAACATTTCTGCGGCAACGCCACATGATCTCATAGAGAAGCGTATCCTCCACGCCATCTCTCGGGATCTTCATTCCGCCCGCGCTCTTCACGGGCAGAGCCCTCCGTCCATTGACGGACTTGAGCGATGCGACGGTTGGTTCGAGTGGGGGAAGCCTCACGCCAAAGCTCAACGAATCTGCCTGTTCATCCAACCAGTGCCCTCTTTGACATACTCGTATCTAATTTTTGGTCCTGGATCGGCTTGTCTTTCCGGGCTGTCAGATCCAAATAGCCAAAAGAAACCTCTAAGGCGTCAGTTTTGTCTTGCGCGGTAGCAGGCTCAGCTAAGCATTCCTCGGCATGACGGATTCATGGATTGCTTCTATCTTGTGCCTTGCCTCTGAGCTGCTTGTCTACTTGTTCGATGTCCGCCGTTGGAAGCATTCCAACCCGCAAGTGCACAACCAGCACTCAGCGCCAGTCCGATTGCGACAAGAACTCAATCTCCTGGGTGGAATTCATGCTTTGCCCAATCAGTACTCGAAACGTTGGACTCTGAAGTCTGGCCAAATCCAGGGGTTTACCCAGTTGCATGCGTTCCCTGGGCATGGGGATGTTGCAGCTAGAAAAGTTAGAAAAGCCATGGCAAGCATGGCAAGCATGTCTGCGATGAGCACATATTGGTCCAGGTCACGCTCAAGAGCAAGCGCAACTCGCCTGCATAGTGGGGTAGTCACACAGCAAGGTACCTGCAAATGCAATGGTTGGGCCAAAGTTGGTCTCCTCAAAAAGTTGTGCCGGCCCGCATCCGATACAAAGCTAGGTGGAAAGCGATGAACGACATTGCGGCTGAGCCAAAAGAAGCAATGTCGATGACATGTTCCCCAGAGACATGCCCCAGTTGCAATCCACCATAGGATGTCGTGCACATCGCACACGCCGCATCGATCAAACCTGCTTCGATTCATGCAACCGCAGAGCAGATTTGCGCGCACATGCAGAATAATGCTATGGTTTCTTTGCAAATGAGCAGGGCAAATCGACTTGCATGCCAAGTTTCATCTTCACTGCAGCGGTTCTGCAAAAGTTATCTCGTACTGGCACTTAGAGGCGCATGGTTTCACCATCAAACATTGTTGACATCTGCTGTCCTCATGACAATTCTTGATGATAATGATGGCTGTTGCTCAGCCGCTTGAAGAATTTCGAACTGGACGCAACGCTAGACGGAACAGCAGCATGTCTTGTCTTGGTCCCCTGGTGCCTGCCCTGGATGATGTGCTTTCATGTTTTTATGTGGCTCTTCCAGCCATGGCGGTCACAACAGTTGACCAAAACAGCAATTGTGCGCCAGCCATGAATTCGCGGAGTGAACTGCAAACAAACAAATGCGAATCATGTTGTTTAGTGTTATGACGCCAGAGATAGGCAAACACTGAACATCAGCAGAAAAAACACGGAAACACCAAAAAAAAGAAAAGAACAAAAGCAGAACAAAATACTGCCAGGAACACCCCAGGGGCAGACCAGGCATCCGAAATGCGCAAAGACTCAGCGAAGAAAACAAGAAAACAAAAAGAACTAAATGCAACCAGAGTTAGGGACACTTCAGGGGCAAAGCAGGCATGCAAAATGTGCAATTGTTTGGTTTGTTGTTTTTGGTGTGTTTGCTTTCTTTATCAGTGTGTTTTTTGCTTGCTTGTTTGCCTTTTCTGGTGTAGTTTGTGTTTGCTATATATATATATATGGATTGGCAACTCCCAATAATTGCCTCATTGAATGTCTTATGTTTAGTGGCTGCAATTGCATGAGGGGTGTGAATTGATCGCACAAAGGCTGTATCTGAGATTTATATTCACAGGGGGCTCAAAGTGGCAACAAGATGCATGCTTTCAACATGATATATTGCATGTGCACGGAAACTATCTTCAACGCCAGACGTGCGATGCTGTCACGGCATCCCGTGAAATGGAGTGAAAGCCGTACTTGGCAGTCTGTCTGGTGACGGTTGGCTGCAAACAACAGGCACTGCTTCTTTTGAGAGGAACATGTCCGCAGGGAAGGAATGTGCAACCAGAAGGAAACCACAACAACGCGCAGCCACCCATTTATCAGGGGCACTTGGCAGCGCTAGCCCGGTCTCTTTCTGCAGGTTGCAGCTGACCTCAGCCAGCCAACGCTGACCACGGCTCAGTCCCAACGTCCGCAACGACCATGGCGTGCTTTGACATATGGCGAGCTACTTTTGTTTGTCCAATTTTAGGCAACACGTCCCGCCAGGTTGCCACGGAACCAGGGCACCCAGAAGGGTGCCCGTTGCATTCCCGGAAAAACATGGAGGCCGCCCAAAAGGCGAAGCATTGCAAACAGCACTTGGCACATGTCTCAGAACGGGCACTGCTCCAGACCGCTCTCCACCAGATGTCTAGACGTCTGCATCAGGCTCCTGCGCCCCCGACAACGGCGTTCCCTATAAGTTCCCATGCCCACACATGCAACAATGTATGTTCGTGTACATGGGCATCATGTGTATGTATGTATGTATGTATGTATGTATGTATGTATGTATGTATGTATGTATGTATGTATGTATGTATGTATGTATGTATGTATGTATGTATATATATATACTGTATACAAGTAGGGGTGTGTGTGTGTCTGCTGAGCTGCGTTTGTAAAGCCGTGCTTTTCGAGGGAAAACACGTGCACACACCTGCTCATCCGGAGCAGCGACGACCCTGTGCAGCGTGCCCCTGGCCGCAAAGAGGGGGTGTTGCAAGTCTGACGAAAAACAAGCCCGCTTTACAGCGCTGTTGAAAATCCTAGACTTGAAGGGCTCTTGCACTCCCCTGGAGCGGAGTGGAGCTGGATACGGTGCACGATAAGGGCCACGGGAAATCAAACTCGAGGCGACTCTCGCCTGCACTTACCCCAAAGTCTGCCACTTGTGTCACCGAGTTCAATCCCATGCACCAGCCGTCATCACGTTTGCTCCAAAGCCAAAGGAGGCTCCGCAAGCCTTCAAGGCCCTCAGGCCTTGGCCGTTTGCCGGGCCCCGTGTTCAAGGGAAACCTGAAGAGCGTCTGCCAGAATGCAGGAGAGAAGGACTCTGAGAAGGTTTCCAGATTCGATTTGGGTCATTCCTCTTGCTACTCCCTGCAAAGTATCCTGTCATTCATAAGGTCTCTCACCGAATGGCCCAATTAGCTGCATGCGCCGCTGCCCTACTTCAGCAGTCGCAAAAGCTCTGCTGGTTCAAAGTTGAAAATACCTACTCTGGCTCTCTCAAATTCAACTGCACACCTTCTTCCTTCTTTGTGGCCAGGCCATCTCAATTCTTGATTTCGCGGTCTATGATCATCCCGAGCAACCTTAAACCCAAGATGCTTTGACCGTACAGGCAGCGGGCAAACATCGAGCGGAACACCCAACTCGGCCAGCGGCATCTGCGCATTGTCAATATTGGCATTGCGGCCTGGACACGCCCATCCATGAAGAATCAGGCAAAGACATGGAAGTCGCAAGAATGCGAATCGCAAAAAGTCCCATCCGATTCCATTCCGAATGGGGCAGCATGTGAGCCGGCAACATGGAAGTTGAGTGACGCGCCCACAGCAAGCCCTGTTTCGCGTTGGATCCTTTTGGGGGGGATTCATGGAATATTGATGGAATATTGATGGAATAGTGAAGGAATAGGGTTCGCAGGCCGCAGGGACCGATGGGGGTTCGGCCATTGAAGTGGATCGGGATGTGCCGGTCCTGGCGGTGGAAGGATCTTTCCAAAGGCTTTCATGCTCACGTCCCAAGGCCCCATGCGCAAACGCATCTCTTTGCAGTTGAGCAACACAAATGTCAAATGTCAGAGAATAGCCAAACCGGCAAGAGGGCTGCTGCTCGGAGTTGACGACGCAAAGATTACAGCGATTCACGATGAGTTTACTGTGTTTCGTGTGAGGCGCAGCCTGCAAACTGCAAAGCTGCAAAGCCGCAAGCTCTGCCACAGGTCTGCTTTGTTGATGCCCTAAGCCGAGCTTCTCCCCGAGCAGCCATCCGACTTCACGGAACAGTGATTCACACCTGACGGTGCCCAGGGATCTTGGCAGAAGCCAAGGCTCTGGTCGAATTGAAAAAGCAGGACTGGAAGAGACGGCTCTTCCGCCGACATCGCTTGGTTCCCTAGGCCTTTGTGCGGGAAGGTAGGTGGCGGCCTAGTAGCCGCCACGTTTCTTTGCCCCGACAACAACTCGAGGCTCCAGTCATGCCTTCTGCCGTCTGGTTCTGCGCTGCTATGCCCGTTAGCAAGCATGAGCAAGGGTTCAAATGCTTCAACTACAGCTCCAGCAACTGCATTTTGAGGCAGTCTGAGTTGGACTGCTCTTGCAGACGCAGCAGCAAATGTCTAAATCGCGCGGCAAACATTCAGTGATCAAAACCAAACTTTGCAAAATGTGCGCTGGTTACAGTAAATGCGCGCCTGCTCTTTAAACCGGTGTTATGTTTGTTGTTTAAGAATAAAAGAGAGAGAGAGAGGCTCTGCCTGCGCTCGCGTATATCCAAAACCTGCTCAGCAGCTTCGTGACATTGATTGCAAGCCTCAAGGCATTCCTGACCAAGGTCCTTGGTCTGGCTGACCTCCAGCTGGGAGACACAGGCCTGAAGGTAGTCTTCAGCCAAGCGTTCAGCTCTGCCCAGCTGTTTGTCAATCTATTGCTGGCTCCTGAAAGCTGCAAGCTATCTCCGTGGATGAAAAAATATAACAACTAACAATGTTCTGCTGATCTAACTGTGGTACAGCTTTGCAAGCCATTGTGAGCACTGGCGTAAGGAGGATATGATCGCTGTCGAAGAACAGAGGATGCTCTGCTTCGACTAGCCAAAGAAAAAATAGGTTGTTTGGGCTGGTGCAAACAGCAATATTGCGACAAAATGCATCTGCCCAAACTTGCAAACGCAACGGCTGAGAAGATCAACTCATGCCTGAGCCGTTTCCAGCTCGCTTTCAAGCCGACGGCCGCTTCAAACATCCGGGATCAGCTCTTAGACTTCACCCAAACAACAAACATTGTTTCTCGTCGGTTGGCCACTCAAGTCACTTCTTTGGCTGATCTCAATTACCCAAATTCCGCGGAGAGCAGGACTCTTCAAAGGCTCGTTCTCTCCAGTTTCTCCCACCTCTTTGACAAGGAGATGAAGCCCAAAATACACTAAGGCGATGCAACTTGACCCATTGTCGACGGAGGCAAGGAGATGTCTATCAATGGGTAAGGTGAGACTTCAAACATTCGCCGCCAGAAGGCAAGGACCCATGGCAGAAATCCTCGACTGAGGACCGTGTGGTAAATGTCTCAAGCGGCGCTTTTTGCATTATTGCTTGCGATTCTTGTCGTTGTGTTCTGCACGTTCCAGCCGAGGATGTGGCCCACGGGACCATCAGCGACTTCTGTACCAGATGTATGAGTGTGTCACCCTGGCGGGCTGGCAGGGCAGTCCCAGTATCCTGTTCGCACCGGCACACACAGATAGGTGCAAAGGTACTCATGCTGCACGCATGAAACCGGCAAAGCCACGTAGTGCACGCCGGGAGCTGGATCAGCAAGTGGCTGCAAAATTTCGCGCCTTCTTCGGTTTCAGAGGGAAGGCTTTTAGCAAAAGGCGTGACAAAAATATGAAAAACAACAGCCCCCCCTTCATTTGCTGTTCTGACCCGCCGGCACTTGCATGGCACAAGGCCGCAAGCTTTGAAGCTCTGAAATCTGATGAAACTCGGGCAGAGAGCTAGCCACTGTGCGAAGGCCAATGTCGCTTTAGCTGAAAGGAGATTCTATGCGCCTGACGCGCTTTGGACGCCTTGAAATATCTCAAACAAACGCATTCGCCTTCGAAGTGGCTCTCATAGCCAAAAAGTCTGCTTGGGGCTCACAGCCAAAAGGTCTGCTTGACGCTCAGCACAGTCCTCAATCGACTTGTGGCAGCAGAGAGCTCCTCAGCTTCACCTGAAGACAAATGACCCACCAGAACTCCTGACTTTTTGCAAACCCACTGAAGCCGGCAAGTGACCAACAAGCAACTTGCAATAACCTGAGCATACGCGCGTGGGTCTCATCCCGCTCCCTCTCCTCCCCTGTTTTCCCACAAGTCCCATCCATCCGGCCTGTTGTCATGGATTGTCGTATCAAGCCCAGCATACCGGAGAAACTCATCTTGCGAAAGACCTGCTCAAGTCACAAACGGCTTGACCCCTGCAAAAGCTGGCAAACAGAAGCACAATGGCTGCACGTGTCAGCGTGCAAAAAATGGCTGCATGCAGACTTCGCCCCAGCCTTGTTGAGTTTGCGCCTCAGCAACCAGCTAGGCGTTTTATGAGCTTCCTGTAAGCAATCCGACCGTGTTTGCAGAACACAAACACAAGCACAAACATAAACATACAAAGAAACAAAGAAACAAACAAACAAACATACATACATACATACACAGACACACTGTGTGACATGGCTGCCAGCTCAGACAAAAATTTGACAAGTTCATCTAGCTCCCCGAGAAAAAAACTGCCCCAAAATGACTACAGCTCTGCAAGCTCAGATCCATGAAGCCCAAACTTCTTGGAATCAAAACTATCTGCGACATCAAGACGTGGTTCTATCCCCCCTTTTGACTGCAAGAACCTCCAAGCCGGGCGCGGCGCCATCTTCCTTTCAACTCTCCAACAACTTGAGCTATTTTCCAAAAGGAGTTAGTATCCAGAATGATATGTATAGTGTCAGGCTAACAAACAGCCATTTCCAAAATCCCACAAATAAACACTAATAGAAAAACAAGGGCCGCAAAGACACATTAGTTGCTTCCCGGAGGGCCTGTAGAATTTACAACCTAACACACAGACACACAGACACACAGACACACAGACACACAGACACACAGACACACAGACACACAGACACACAGACACACAGACACGCAGACACGCAGACACACAGACACACAGACACAGAGACACAGAGACACAGAGACACAGAGACACAGAGACACAGAGACACAGAGACACAGAGACACAGAGACACACAGACACACAGACACACAGACACACAGACACACAGACACACAGACACACAGACACACAGACACACAGACACACAGACACACAGACACACAGACACACAGACACACACACACACATTGACATGTGCGCACGCACACACACATGCACAAGCCAGCAAGAACGTCGCCCAACGAGAAGCACAGCGCTTGGTTCACTCCTTCCCGCTTCTCAGAGTCAGCCCTATTCATTGACTAGGCTTTGGGCCTTTTACGCGCGCGTGTTATTGGAGCGGTGAAAGACCCAGGCGGCTGCGCTTTTGGGCTTGTTTCTGGGTTCCATCATGGCCTGCAGGTCTCTTTGTTGGTTTTTGGCTGCCTCCTGTCATGGGATGGATGGATAGATGGATGGATGGATGGATGGATGGGTGGGTGGGTGGATGGATGGGTGGATGGATGGATGGATGGATGAATGGATGGATGGATGGATGGATGGATGGATGGATGGATGGATGGATGGGCAGTTTGGCCGCTGAGCTAGCACAGCGCTATGGTCTAGCTGCGAGCCGGGCCATATTCGTTGCATCATAGAATTGGAGCCGATGATTCTGGGTTTCATTGGACCGCCCCCCTTTTCCTCCTCTACACGGAATATCATTTTTGAGGTTGCTCACTCTGAATGGAAAAACAATGGCAAAGCGTCAAGTGGAGGTCCAGGGGGCTCAAGAATGTCCCGACTCGCTTTGTCAGTTGCAACGGGTAAGGCATCTGGGGCGGCGGCTGCAGTGTGTTGGAGATTGAGGGCTCTTCTCCAGAGCTCTGCTCCGCCAAAGCCAAAATTTCGTGGGCGTCCTGCGCGCGGCTCGCCAAAACAATGCCGAAATGTGTTGTGTTTTGAAGGGGGAACACCAAGAAGCAGTATTTCGATGCAGGCAAAACCTGGAATTGCCTGTACATGCAACTTATGATGTAACTGGGATGGAGGAGGTACACGAATGATCATGGATGGTTAACCTTTTGGAGCTGGGATGAACCTCCTCCAAGTTGGGCATGCAATGCTCAAGCATAGAATGTTAGCCCTAATCAGTGCAACTTCAGAGGCAATCCTAGTCTTTGTAACGAGCGAAGCGCCACGAATCTTACGGAGGTATGTAACGGGGGTCCTTGTTACGCAGGTGTGCGTTAGCAAAGAAGTAGTTGTCAGTAGCACAATGTATCGCGGAACAACAAAAAGCCGGAGCTCGAAAGTCGCAACTGTTCAGTGCAAGCGCCGTACACACCGCCGCAGCCCCAGCTTGAAGGTTGCGACTATTCAGCGCAAGCCACACTGTGGCAAACAGGGGGTCGCTGGCTCGGACTGGGGTTGGGTCTGCTGTAAGCAGGTACGCGCGACTATGTAACGAGGTGTGCAGCGAGGCATAGTAAAGCGCAGTGCGCAAAGCGCACCTGCGCAGCCAGAGGTCTGCAACGAATGCGCGGCTCTGTCACAGACCCCTCAAAAACGCTCACTGCCATGCAAGTTACTGAAACTTGCCCAGGTGTTGCGGTTTGATATTGTTCCTTCCCGCAGGAACACTGGGCTGTCTAATTTTGAGTTCAATTGACAGGTCTTATCAACTCTGCTCCAATTGGTGGTTTGAGAGGGGTTCAAGTGTCAACGCCATCTTCCAAACCACAAAACTCACCAACTGAGGATGACCTGGTTGCCGCTGACTGCTCAAACTAGCAGCACGATCGGATATAGCAGTCTACAAGTACAAGGACACTTCACCTTCAAGCACAGAAAGCAAGTACAAGCACGAGTGACAACCCTTCAAAGTGACGCGAGCAATAACATGACGTTCACCAAATTGCAGGATGCGGGATGTGTCAAAGCCGCACAGTTCCTGTCCTGCAGAAAGCCTTTCTCGTCTGCTTTGGCTTGCAAATGTGGAAGAAGAAGGGAAAGCCTCGGGACTCGGCGCCACTGCTTTGCACTACGATACGACGATATCCGATGAGCATGGTCAACAAATTGCAACGTCCGGAATCAAACTCCTCCCAATTGAAAGACATCTGCCGCATGCCTTTCAAAGTGCAACGAACGCATTCCGAGCAGCAATTGGCCCTTCGAAAGAAGCTTCACTGCCTCCGGCAACGGCTAATGCAGCATAGCAGGCGAAACAGGACGAAAACAGGAACGCAAACAAGAGCAAGCCAACTCCCCGCTTCATTCTCAATTTCTTGTATAAAGGGCCTCCAATGCTCCAAATTGGAGTCAAACTCGATAGCCCGACAGCCCGGCTGTGTTCCTCTCACTCCTCTCCCGCCTGGCGCTGGCTTTTGTCCAAGCCCACAGGGCGGTCGGAATGATCCAAATGGCAGTATCTGCATTCTGCCCCACTCTGGCAGCCACCCCTCGCAAAGAAGAGGCACGGCCGGTGGCCTGCACTTGGCAGAGACTTTGCCCAAGTGGCCATCCAAAATCATCCAAAACCATCCAAAACCATCCACCCAAAAAAGCGAAAGGTCATAATGTGGACATGTACGATCTCACCTCTTTTTGGCCGCAAGTTCCAGGCCGGGGCACAAAGCTCGGGGTGTCCCTGGCTGCCCTCGGTGGGGATGGGGTCTGCCGGGTCTGCCGGGTCTGCCGGGTCTGCCGGGTCTGCCGGGTTCGAGGTCTGCGAAAGGCCGTCGCTCCGGTCGTCGGATAAGTTGGTCGACACGGTGGAGAGATCCACCTTCCAGGGCATGTCCTTCCGGGATTTGAGAAAACGTGATTTGAACGCGGCCAAAGCTTGCAAACCGCGAGATACACATCAGATTGCGCTTGACATGGCACCACATGAATGTGAAATCACAAGAGGAAATGCTGTGGTTTTTGCTCGCCGTGGGAAGCAAGCCGCATCTACACATCCCTGTTCCGCTTCGGATGAAACCCTCTGCATTGCATGCCAGACATGCGCCATACTGTGTGCAATGGGAATGACGGAATGACATAGCTCTGATCCCAAGGAGTCCTTAGGCACAGCCATCTGCGACAGCCCCGGAGGGAGGCTGACGTAGGCCGGCTCGTACCCCGAAGAGCTAAGCCTGAGCTCACGATTTGGGTGAGACGCCTCTAGCTGCTTGGCCATGGAAGTCATGGAAGTCATGAGCCTGAAAACATGGAACAGGCGTCCAAGGTTGAGCTAAGGAGCATCCTGGCCACCAATGTGCAATAGCTGCAAGGGAAGACTTGAGCAAGGTGGCTGCGCTTGCGACCAGGCACCGGGCAACCAATCAAACCCTACTGCAATGTGTCGCACCAAAAGCAAGCACAACATGCTTTGGCGACCAGTCTTCCCGGAGCCGCTGCTTGATCGCATCTGGAAAATCCAGAAGCGTTTCCTGGAAGATCACCTTCGCCCAGAGGCCCAGAGGCGAGAGAACAGCGTCTCTCGGGGAACTCGTCAGCAAAGAAGGCACAGCTTGTCAGCTAAAGCGCCTAAGCGCCTAAGGGAAGAAATGAGAACAGCCTAAGGGAAGAAATGAGAACATCTGCCAGAGGGTCCCCAACAACTCTCTGGAGAAAAATCCAATTCGAGTAAAGGTCGGTTGTTCCCTTCCCCTTCCTGGGCTCCTCAACAAACCACAGAGCAATTGTCCACATTACAAACCTGGATATCGTGGTTCAAGGCAAGCCTTGATTTTAACACTGAAAAGCGCAAATCAACGTGGGCTTTGCGATTGACATCCGCTTTTACAATGGGCGTGGATGTAACTGTCTGCGCGTTTCTCGCTTTGGTTCTTTTTTCTCCTGGGGCAACTGCCTTGCTTTTCAGAGCGTTTCAGATCGGCGATTTGGGGCGGGGCTTAGGCTGGAGGGTCGCATGATTCAAGGCGGGTTCAGAGACGGATTTCGCTGGCCTTTGTCTTGGCACCTGGCCCCGATGGGGCGGCCTTCCCTTTGGACTCTCTTTTTCCGGATCGGGCGCCCCTTCCTCAAGCGGCAGGGGCGCAAAGCTCAAAGAGGACCAGTGCAGACTTCCCGCGGCAGCCCATCCTCGGGCACCGTTACGAATGGAATCCGAGTCCTTTTCTTTCTTTCTGCTCTTTCTTCCTTTCCTTTCCTTCTTGTTCTCTCTCTCTCTCTCTCTCTCTCTCTCTGTCTCTCTCTACTTCTTTCTTTAAGCCCAGTTACGAGAAGCTCCTGCCCTACGAGGTCCTCATCTCGGCCCATGGCTAGTGGCTTGGCAGCATACACAAGCGCAGCTGGAACGGGTCCACAGCCGCAGGTGGGGGGCCATGACGATCATGCGTCAGCATGTTTTTTTTTGGTCTTGTCCAGTCTTATTTTAGGTTTGGGTCAGAAGTGATGATGGCTCTTAGCGCGTGCCTGTAGCATGGTTGTTCGCGGCTGTCCGTGTTTGCGCTCCGCCTGCCGCGGCCAAACTGACACCTCAGTACGAGAACCTTGTGCGAGCGCTTTCATTGTCTGAGGCAAGTGCCGGTGAGCATAGCTCACACAATGCGTTGAGCACTCGCAATTTGCAGCAAGAGGTAACTCCAGATCTGAAGCGAAAAGCTTGCAAACTGCAAGGTTTCAAAATGGAACTTGAAACGGCTTGGCTCTGTAAAACACAGCGTTAGGTTGTTCACCCATTTTAAGGGGCAGTCCAAATGGTATTCATACGGACAAACAAGATTTGAAAGCGTTGGCTTCCACACTGCAAGCTTTTCAAGCAGAACCCTAAAAGGAAAAGACAGCCAGTCTAGATCTGGAAGCAGAAGCTTGCAAATTGATTTGTGGTTTAACGAACTTGGTAAGGAAAAGCGCACCAGGCCTTAGAGCCTTAGGATATCCTTTGGCCTGTTGATTTGCTTGCATTATCTCCCTCCTTCCTCGCACCCGTTGGACGTTTCCTTGCACACAAAGTAATGATTAAGCATGCGCTAACGTTTGAATTGCATGCCGCGCTTGGAACAGTTCATGCACAATTCAAAAAAGACACTTTGTAGCTCGGCGCAGCAGGTTCCAAATATGCGAACAGAAGAGCCTGTGTGGTCGACGTTCATGCGCCAAATGATCTCTTCATTTTGCATGTTGCACCACCCGGCTACTAGCCGGCGACAACACGCGACTTCGGCGCGAGGGAACAGAAAGGCTCTGCTCTCAGGCTGCCAGCCATTCTAACACGCATCTGCAATAGCTGCGCCATTCAAATCTGTCATGCTCCTTAGGCGCCTGTCTGCGCAAATTCATCTCTGTACAAACCTAAAAGCCACGCAACACACTTGCACACCCCACTCTTCCTACCCCCGCAGCTTTAGATTTGGAGCGCTTCACGGCTTCCACAAGCGTCCTGCGATGCTACAGTATCTCTGGGAAGCCTAAGATCCAAAAGCGTTGGAAATTGTAAAGCAACTCAACCTTCAGGACTGGAAAGCTAAGTCATGGACTTGCGGAGTGGGTTCGCTTGAGTAGGTCCATCAAATCAGCATGGCCAAAGCTCGCTACCTTCGGTCTGACTCAGACGACCACCTCCTTCAGTTCATAGGCTGTGGGATGCTGACTAATCCGCCTCCCAGTCAAAACCGAACTCTTCCTCTGTCACCTGCGCTGCATCAGGCACAATCTTGCCCAAATGGCTGGCCTTCGCACACGCATTCACATGACCAACCGTGTCTTGCCAAAACCCGCCTAACGTGCAACCCCACCTATGGAATATTGGCGGGCCTGCTACTTGCCCACTCACTGGTAGTGATGCCCTCGAATGGGGGGCTATGCCCCGAGCAAGGTAAGGACTCAACAATGTTGGTTGGTGTAACGTTTCAAAGCGCGGTCATCTCCACTGTGTCCGGCAAACATGGCACAACTCCATCACAACTTTCTCAAACTATATGGTTGCAACATTGAGACTCATGCCGCTCATGTCGAGGCGTCAAGTTCTTATCTCTCGCGGCGTTTGATTGAAGGAATGCTTCAACGTCTTGCGCTCACTGCGGCGTTCGCACGTTGCTTTAGGAACCGCCGACAACCAGCTCCGCAAAAATTCAAGCGACCAAAATCAATATGTTACATATTGATGCAAGAATCGAAAGGCGCAGTCAGACTCACGCAACAAGCACATTGTGTCTAGGGTCTGTTTTTTGTCTAGCAAATTCCCAGTTCCAATTGAAAACAACTCCTCAAATAGCGCCGAGCCTCGAACAAGACATGTCCATCTAGCGCAGAGTCTCATCAAACATGACACACCCTACTCGGCTCATGCTTCATACAATTTGCAAATATACTCTGAGAAGCCTTGCGCGTAAAGAACAACAATCAGAAGCCACCAAAAGATCGTTTTCTGCCCGAAGACAGGAGCAAAAACGTTCCAACAGGAAAAATGTACTCGGCTCCACAGCTCGACAACAAATCCCGTTGCAGTTGCTGGAATTCTACTGTATACACACAAAGGGGTTTAGAGGCTGCCACTGAGCTGGGTTTACGCCAAGTGGCCGCGTCATGGAAGTGGGAAGGAGACCTTTTCAAGTTCAAAGCCTGTCGGCTTCCACGATTGTTGGAAACAGGGTAGTTGATCTCAATGGCCAACCTTCCAAAAGGGAAAGAGACGCCGGCGGATAGCTGGTCGCACGACACGGCAAGGATCCCTAACAGTGTGAACCCTCTGCATAGAAAAACACATTGACGTAGACTGACCTGCTGAAGCGACTGGCTAGGCTTTTTACAGGCGAACCCTGGTAAACAAAAATTACTAAATCTGGAACCTGAACAGGCAACTGGATAAACATTAAAGACCCACGTTGTTCATGTTGCATTGAGCTTTCGGTCATTCTTGGAAAGATGTTCAGGACGACATCACAAGAAACGACTGTGAACTTGCTTTTTGCGTCAAACGTGACAGGGCGCTTTCCCATTGGCTGGCTTTCTGCTTGCATCTTTGCGCGTGTGGTTACAAAGCATGGCGTTGCGTTTGGGAACCAATCACTTACGCGCATTAATGTAACTCGCAATGAAGTACGGAATTCAGAAGGGTGTTCAGGGGCCTTGAACATGGAGCCCGAGCTCCGTTAACCCCAAATCAATAGGCTCCCCGCTGAGTCCTTCAACACGCGGGGATCCCTCAACCTACCCAAAAGTGCCGCAGTCGCCGCGGAAAAAAGCGCGCTGGCCCGTTGGCTGTCTTGAAGCGTCAGCTGTGCTCAGCGAGTTCTTGGTGTCAGGGACACGCAAGCATGCCCAGGACAAATGACACACGAGCACACGAGAAAAGATGTGCTCCGGACAATCTTGTTGTCTTCACAACTTTCGGGGTGGGCGAGAATCGACGAACATCTGCCTCTTCCTCATTCTCTTCTTTCTCCTCCTCCGCCGTCAGGCAATGCAAGACGTGCCACAAACTTGGCGCCCCTAGGACCCCCTGGTTCCCCCACGTCCGTCACATTGTTTACCACGCGTTGCCCTCAAATCATCAAGGCCAAAAACGGGCAGCCCCAATTTGTTGTGAAATGCTGCCGGCCCTCACCAACGTCACCAGCCGTGACTCACTCTGATGTTGCCGAATGCCCATATGAAAAGGACATCGATCATTCGGGGCATCCCCTATTGGCTGTTGGTGTTTGGCACCGCGCGTGGTCCGCAAGCTCGCGCTTACCTTCAAAAGATAGTGGCGGCAAGGCCAGAAGTGGGGAACAAAGAAAGAAGAAGAAGGTGGAGAAAAAGAAGGAGAAGTGTGTGGCACAAGTGTAGTACGCGAAGTACACTTGCAGCTCCAGCTCGAAAATCGCAGCTTTGTGGCACAAGTGTAGCACGCGAAGTACACTTCTGCAGCTCCAGCTCGACAAGCCTAACTTTGTAGCACAAGTGCAGAACGGACTTACGCTTCCGCAGCTCCAGCGCGAAAATCCCAACTCTGTGGAACAAGTACACTTCCGACCCCCGCAACTCCAGCGTGTTCACCGCCGCACGCGCTGCTTCGGGCCAGTTTTAGCCAAGCGGTACAGACGCACGCTTGCCCGCTTCTTGCCACTGGCGCTCGCAGCATCACACTGCGCCCAGATGTCAGCCCAGCCCACTTTTGCCTGCCCAACACAGCCCAGCGCAGCCTAGCAGCTCAGTGGCCCGACAACTTCGGGTCAGCCCAACCCAGTCAAGCCCAGCCATCGGCAGGGCAAAGAAGTTGCATCACAGAAACTCTTTCCACAGGCCTTTGGTTGTTGTTATTGTTGCTGTCGCTGCGGCCAGTTGCGCTAGAAAACTGAAGGCCGACGCCCGGCCAATGTGGCTTGCGCGCCAATGGCTGCCTTGCCTCCCAAGGCTCCCTGCGCAACTTCGGCCCTTGACATCCACTGGCCCAAAGCCAGAACCGTCACTTGGCTCCGCGACTCACACCTATGAATCGCCACTTGACGAGCTCTGTTGTTTGCTTTTGGGCCACAAACGCTGCACACTGGGCTGGGCCGAAGCGAGCAACGTGAATAAACACTGCCTTAATAGTTCTATTCAGACCCAGATTGCTGGGTGAGGGACATGTGGATCCATGAATGCCCCCCCCACGAACTCTAAATACTCGTACGTAGAAATTCAGATTCTGGAACCAGGATCTAATTTTGGGTATGTAGAAATCTAGATACCGTTTTAGACTTCAAGGGAAGACCTTCATGGATCCAATACCAACAGTCCTCCCGCAATCTTTGCCAGCAATGTTGGATCTTGGTTGTTGGATTCAGGATCTAAATACCGGTGATTAGAAATCTAAATTCCGGTACTCAGATTTCAGCAGAGAAATGCATGGATAGAAGGTGTCCTCCGAAAGTCCCGCAGAAACTTGCATGCTAAACCCAAATACTGTATTGAGAAGTTTAGGTTCAGCAGTCATACTTTCAGGGGGCAACTTGACAGAAGAGTTTCATATCCATTTGCACGGGCAGTCTTCAATGTTGAATATCCTTCCCTTTTTTCGAGTCAGGATTCTGGACAAAGCTTTTCTGGGCAATTAGGACTCTGGACAAAGCTTTCCTAACCAGTTGTGATTCTTGAACCTCCCTTCAGATGTCCTTTGTTAGTCCAGTTTCTGAGATTTGTCGCAGGTGTGACTTGCTCAAACTGACTTACGCAGCCGGACTTACACAGCCTGACTTACGCAGCGTGACTTACGCTGCTTGACTTACGCAGCCTAGCTTGCACAGCGTGACTTACTCAAACTGACTTACGCTGCCTGACCTACGCAGCCCGACTCATAGCCTGATTTACGCAGCCTGACTTAATTACGCAGCCTGACTTAATTACGTAGCCTGACTCAATTACGCAGCCTGACTCAATTACGCAGCCTAGCTTGCGCAGCCTGGCATACGCAGAAAAGCTTACGCAGAAAGAGAGAGAGAGAGAGAGCGAGAGAGAGAGAAGAGAGAGAGAGAGAGAGAGAGAGAGAGAGAGAGAGAGAGAGAGAGAGAGAGAGAGAGAGAGAGAGAGCGAGAGCGAGAGAGAGAGCGAGAGCGAGAGCGAGAGAGAGCGAGAGCGAGAGCGAGAGCGAGAGCGAGAGCGAGAGCGAGAGCGAGAGCGAGAGCGAGAGCGAGAGAGCGAGAGCGAGAGCGAGAGCGAGAGCGAGAGAGAGAGAGAGAGAGAGAGAGAGAGAGAGAGAGAGAGAGAGAGAGAGAGAGAGAGAGAGAGAGAGAGAGAGAGAGAGAGAGAGAGAGAGAGAGAGAGAGAGAGAGAAACCTGGAGACGGGAAAGGGAGAAGGAGGAGAGGAAGAGGGAGAGGGAGAGCAAGAGGAAGAGGGAGAAGGAGAAGGGAGAAAGGGAAGAAGAGAAAGGAAAGAAGAGAAGGAGAAGGAGAAGGAGAAGGAGAAGGAGAAGGAGAAGGAGAAGGAGAAGGAGAAGGAGAAGGAGAAGGAGAAGGAGAAAGAGAAAGAGAAAGAGAAAGAGAAAAAGAAGGACTGCATCTTGTGGGTAATTGAGATCGTGGCTCAGTCCAAACATGTCCTTCACATGGATGCGGCCATTGTCAACGCAACAACGCCTGCCAAAGAGAAACACAAACCTTCATACATGCCATGTAAAAAACTGACAGGTTGCCCTGCGCGCAAACATCGTGGCCTCCTCCTTCTTTGGCTCTTCCTTCTCGACCTCTACAGGCTTCTTCCCCTCCGGCGCGTTATCCCACTTTGGTTTCACTTGCATATTTGCTCCACTGATGTCGCGAGAAACCAGATAGCAGGGCCCATGTCAGCGTCGTAATTTTCAGGTTTGTGATTTCGCGAGGACCATAGGTTCAACACAGCAGGGCGACGGGTGAGAAAAGAAGGCGCCCAGTGACACGAGTTAGGTTCACATAGCTGCGTCGGAATCTGAAAATTACACCGGAAACACATCGCAGGCCAATGTGAATGTGGCCATTGTCAACGCAGCAACGCCTGGCAAAGAGAAACACAAACCTTCATACATGCCATTGAAACGAACTGACAGGTTCCTGAGCGCAAACATCCTTGTGACCCTTCATGGCCTCCTCCTTCTTTGGCTCTTCCGTCAGCCCAATATTTTGCATATCCAAACTCCTGAGGCTGCATGTCAGTAAGTTTCAGTTTTGTTATTCAGACACACATCGCAGGCCAATGTGAATGTGGCCATTGTCAACACAGCAACGCCTGGCAAAGAGAAACACAAACCTTCACACATGCCATTGAAAAAAAATGACAGGTTGCCCTGAGCGCAAAAGTCCTTGTCACCCTTCATGGCCTCCTCCTTCTTTGGCTCTTCCTTCTTGGCCTCTACAGGCTTCTTCTCCTCCGGCGCGTTATCCCACTTTGGTTATTTGCATATTTGCTCCACTGATGTCGCGAGAAACCAGATAGCAGGGCCGTCAGCCCAATATTTTGCATATCCAAGCTCCTGAGGCTACATGTCAGTAATTTTCTGTATTGTTATTCAGAAACACATCGCAGGCCAATGTGAATGTGGCCATTGTCAACGCAGCAACGCCTGGCACAGAGAAACACAAACCTTCATACATGCCATTGAAACGAACTGACAGGTTGCCCTGAGCACAAACATCCTTGTGACTTATCATAGCCTCCTCCTTCTTGGGCTCTTCCTTCTTGGTCTCTACAGGCTTCTTCTCCTCCGGCGCGTTATCCCAAGTTGTGTTTGGTTTCACTTGCATATTTGCTCCACTGATGTTGCGAGAAACCAGATAGCAGGGCCGTCAGCCCAATATTTCGCATATCCAAGCTCCTGCGGCCGCATGTCAGTGTCGTCGTTTTCAGTATTGTGATTTCGCGCGGACCGTTGGTTCAACACAGCATGGCGACGGGTGAGGAGAGGAGGCGCCCAGTGACACGAGATCATGCCATTGCTTCTGGCAGTTTTCTGCGAAATCTGGTCTTCCATTTCTTGGACTTGGGCTGTGCTTTATATTTCTTCTATTTCGCAAGAAGGCTTGCCGTACTTACTTGGCCCTTGGCTCAGCTGCGAAATTCAGCCGACGCTTGTTTGGAAGCACCAAATCTGCCATTTGGCAACGCGCACTTTCTTTACCTTTCTGGGACATAGGGGTAACCATGCTGATGACCTGTTATCGGAAAACGCGACGAACCAACTTTGAGAAAGAGGGCATTGGATCACCACTCGCTTGTATCGGAAGCCAGTCAGGCGTCGGCTCAAGTTCTCTAGAAAAATCGCATGCCTGAGTAGGTACATTGGAGATAGAGAGATAGATAGATACATAGGTAGATGGATAGAGAAATAGATAGATAGATAGATAGACAGATAGATGGATAGATAGACAGATAGATAGAGAGGCAGATAGATAGATAGATAGATAGATAGATAGATAGATAGGTAGAGAGAGAGAGATAGATAGACAAATAGAAATATAGGTAGAAATATAGATTGATAGAAATATAGATACATAGGTAGAGAGATAGAGAGGTAGATAGATAGATAGATAGATAGATAGAGAAATGGATAGATAGATAGATAGATAGATAGATAGATAGATAAAGAGATAGACAGATGGAGAGAGAGATAGATAGATAGGTAGATAGAGGGATACATAGAGAGATAGAGAGAGATAGATAGATAGAAAGATACACAAATACAAACAGATAGATAGATAGATAGATAGAAAGATACGCGGGAGATAGATGGAAAGATAGATAGATAAATGGATAGATAGAGAGAAAGAGATAGAGAGATAAATAGACAGAAGGAAAGAGAGATAGAGAGATAGATAGATAGAAAGAAAAAATGATAGAGAGCTAGATAGAGAGATAAATAAGTAGATAGAGAAACAAACAGAAGAAAGATAAAGAGAGAGATAGATAGATGAATAATGAGAGATAGAGAGATAGATAGATAGATAGATAGGTAGATGGATAGAGAATAGATTGATAGATAGATAGATAGATCGATACATAAATAGAGAAGACAGATAGATAGACAGATAGATAGACAGATAGAGAGAGAGAGATAGAGGGGTAGATAGAGAGATGGATAGATAGAGAGATAGAGAGATAGGTAGATATATAGATAGAGAGATAAGGAGATAGATAGAAAGATAGATAGAGAAGATAGATAGAGAGATAGATAGATAGATGGTTTCACTTGCATGCTTGCTCCACTCATATCGCGAGAAACCAGATACGTCAGCCAAATATTTTGCATATCCAAGCTCCTGAGACTGCATGTCAGTGTCGTAATTCTCTGTTTTGTGACTTTGCACGGACCATTGGTTCAACACAGCAGGGAGACGGGCGAGGAAAGAAGGCGCCCAGTGACACGAGTTAGGTTCACATAGCTGCGACGGAATCTGAAAATTACACCAGAAACACATCGCGGGCCAATGTGAGAATGTGGCGCATTGTCAACGCAGCAACGCCTGGCAAAGAGAAATACAAGCCTTCTGATTCACACATGCGATTAAAGAAATAAGCTCAGGCAATATCCCCAACAGCACCACACCCGCCCCGGGACCCACCTCACCGCCGGTTTTGCTGAGGTGCCGCCTTGTAACTTTGTGAAGCAAAGCTAAGAGTGACAACGCAATCGCGCCCTGACCGGGGCGGGGCCCGACGGTGCAATCAGGCCCGACCAAAGCCCGATGGTCCCGTATTATAGCTGAACGCCGGCTTTGCTTAGGATGTGTATCTAGCAAAACTAGGCGACACCGGCTTGGTAGTTGATGGGGCCCGATCAGGGCCCGACGGCGCAATCGGGGCCCGATCGGACCCCGACGCAGCAATCGGGCCCCGACCTGCCCAACTGGGCCCGGTGAACCTTGCAGACAGTTCTCGTGGAACCCTTGTGGGCTCAGCGTGCTGTCTGCCCCATAGCTTTTGCAGAACCTGGCGGAAACCTCGTGGAGCGCTTTTGGAATTTTATTCCGTAGCCCTCGCAGCCTCGTGAACCCTTGCAACCCAAAGCCCACCAAGTAGTACTCAGTAGTGCCAAGCATTTACTCTGCTACACAGTGAGTTTGCCACAAAGCCAACGCGTTGCCTGAAAAGGTGAGCCCATGAGCAAAGCGATCTTCTGAGCCCTCAATTTACTGCTCCGATGGCTTTTCAGACGGTGGGGGCACAACACATTGCTTCCTTGCAGAACATTCGTGGAACTTGTGGAGTTGTGGAGTTGTGGGGCCTTGTGACCCTTGCCGAACCCTTGCGGAACTGCTGTGAAACCCTTACCTCAGCCACAGCCCGAGGAACCTTGAACATAGGAAACGAACCTTGCAGAATCCGGTGGAACCGTGGTCGACCCTCATGGAACACCCCAACAACACCGTAGCTTTTGCAGAACCTGGTGGAACCCTGTAAAGTACCTCAAACCACCCTTGCAGAACCTGGTTAAATGGTGGTGGAACCTGGTTGAACCCTCGTCGAACCTTACGTTGAACCTGTTGAAACCCTGGTGGAACCCTGGTGGAACCCTGGTAAAACCTGACCTCAAAACCTTGAAGAACTTGGTGGAACCTTACCTCAAACCACCCCTGACCCTCGCAGAACCTGGTCGAACCCTCGGTGGAACTTTGCCTCAAACCACCCCGCTTGTAGAACCCTGGCAAAACCCTCGTGGAACCCATTCCACCAGAGTTCCACCAGAGTTCCACCAGGTTCTACGAGGACTGCGGGGTGGTCTGGGGCGGTTTGAGGTAAGGTCCGGGGTGGTTTGAGGCAAGGTTCCTACCTCAAACCTCCCCAAACCTCCCCGGACCACTGGTGAAACCCTGGTGGAACCCTGGTGGAACCTTGCCTCGAACCTGGTGGAATCCTGGTGGAACCCTCGTGGAACCTTACCTCAAACCACCCCGGACCACCCCGCAGCGCTTGCAGAACCCGGTTAAACCCTGGTGGAACCTTCGTGGAACTTTGCCTCAAACCACCCCGCTCGTAGAACCCTGGCAAAACCCTCGTGAAACCTTACCTCAAACCATTCCACCAGAGTTCCACCAGAGTTCCACCAGGTTCTACGAGGACTGCGGGGTGGTCTGGGGTGGTTTGAGGTAAGGTCCGGGGTGGTTTGAGGCAAGGTTCCTACCTCAAACCTCCCCGGACCACTGGTGAAACCCTGGTGGAACCCTGGTGGAACCTTGCCTCGAACCTGGTGGAATCCTGGTGGAACCCTCGTGGAACCTTACCTCAAACCACCCCGGACCACCCCGCAGCGCTTGCAGAACCCGGTTAAACCCTGGTGGAACCTTCGTGGAACTTTGCCTCAAACCACCCCGCTCGTAGAACCCTGGCAAAACCCTCGTGAAACCTTACCTCAAACCATTCCACCAGAGTTCCACCAGAGTTCCACCAGGTTCTACGAGGACTGCGGGGTGGTCTGGGGTGGTTTGAGGTAAGGTCCGGGGTGGTTTGAGGCAAGGTTCCTACCTCAAACCACCCCGGACCACCCCGCAGCCGAACCTGGTGGAACCCTGGTAGAACCCTCGTGGAACCTTACCTCAAACCACCCCGGACCATCCCGCAGCCCTCGTGTTACCTGGTGGAACCCTGGTGGAACCCTCGTGGAACCTTACCTCAAACCACCCCGGACCACCCCGCAGCCCTCGCAGAACCTGGTGGAACCCTGGTCGAACCCTTGGTGGAACTTCACCTCAAACCACCCCGGACCATCCCGCAGCCCTCGTGTTACCTGGTGGAACCCTGGTGGAACCCTGGTGGAACCCTCGTGGAACCTTACCTCAAAGCCCCCCGGACCCCCCCGCAGCCCTAACCTGGTGGAACCCTGGTGGAACCCTCGTGGAACCCTCGTGGAACCCACCTCAGGGCCGCCCCGGACCACCCCGGAGCCTATCTGGGCTGAGACCCCAAAGCTTTTAGCTGTTGGGGAAAAACTGACAGGTTGCCCTGAGCGCAAACATCCTTGTGACCCTTCATGGCCTCATCCTTCTTTGGCTCTTCCTTCTTGGCCTCTACAGGCTTCTTCTCCTCCGGCGCGTTATCCCAAGTTGTCTTTGGTTTCACTTGCACATGGGCTCCGCTGATGTCGCGAGAAACCAGATAGCAGGGCCGTCAGCCCAATATTTTGCATATCCGCTCATGCTGATACAGAGCTATTTGGTGGCATATGACTCTCATCGTCCTCCTGCACGGAGGATGGTGAAGGCGGCCTGGCCTGAGATCAAGGCTTGGCCGTGAAAAACTCGAATTGACTGCGCCAGCCTCAGATGTGGAAGCTGAATGCGACGTGACGGGCTCCCAGGTATCACCCCAGGTATCACCTGGCATGCATCTTCATGTGACGCCAGCCCTCAGCTTCGGCAGAAAGCTACGAAAGCTTTTTGGGGCTCGCTGAATCCCATCTCTGAGCTTAACTTCTTGCATGACTGAGGCCTCCTACGACGGCTCCACAATTAACAAACATGGGACTACCAATAACCCACGTTCTTCCAACTGCCACATCAAAGCACATGCCAGTCCGTCCTGAAGATGTAACACTGCGAGCACTGGCAACCTGCATTGCTTGCACCCCGGTTGCGTATACATGCAGCCACTGCTCAACAGCTCTAGATTGTCTCTAGTCTGTAAAAAATGCAAAACTGAGCCTCGTCTGCAGCCTCCTCACACTTTTCCTGTGTCGAAACCGACGCGTAACTGTTCAGGCCGAAGCAGGTTGCTCTCTCATGCGAATCCCCAAACGCGCGAATACACTCTCGCATCATACGTGAAACGTGAGACTCCGCGCCTGCAAATCTGGTCCCGCAACAGGCGCTGCGCTCCTTGGCCTTACGCGTGAAGTCGCCAGCTGGTGCCGTGAGGTCGATCTGAGAATCTCACAGTTGCACGGCTGTTTTTGAGGCTCTCTCTCTCTCTCTCTCTCTCTCTCTCTCTGTCTCAGTCTCTCTCTGATATATTTAGCCCAACACGAAGCATTGCAAACAGGGCTCTGAGACGAAGCTGGCGTGGCCCTCTCACTCTCGGCCTGGTTCGCAATGTGAATTCCAAGCAGCTGGAATTTGTACGTAGAAACCCGCAATGTCAAATGTAATTATGGCATTTAGCCCAGTCTGAATTCTTCAATTCGAAGACTAGGAATGGATGCTTTCCTGTAAGGCGCGTCCAATATATCCAAACACCTGAGACGCGCGCCGCAGCGACAGGAAGTTGCGCGTACATGTGTGTTGCATGTGATTTCCCAGTTGCAGCTCACTGGACTGGCGCGCTCAACCTACAGATTTGGAGGAAATGGACTCAGGGTCACCCACAGGGAAAAGACGCACGGTTTGCTCGTGGATAGCGGCACAGCATGACGCAAACCAAGAGATTTGCTCTAACGACTCAAGCAAACCTGTAGTTGTCCCTTCTACGCAAGCTTGATTGGAAGCCTCGCGCCGTTTCCTGGCGTTGCCATAACATTTGGCAACCCTTGCAGATTCTGCCAGCTCTGCATCCCTTGCCCCCCCAACACACAAACTCATCCAGCTCACGCCGGACTTGGAAGGAAGATGGAGAACCTACCTTCTGGAAAATCAGGGTCATGTTACACAATATGTCTAAGCTCTTTCCCCTGTACACCAATGTGCGTAACATATCGTGACCGAGAGATCAAAATCAACCACGTAGGCACGATAAGCTGAACATCTTGGGATGGCTTGGAGCGCCTCTTCACAGTTTCTGAACGCCCTTTTATTATCCAGCCTCCATGTGGTGAACATCTGCCATCTGAAGATCCTCCTTGGCATCCTCTTTGGCGTACTGGTCCACCTGCAAATGCAGAGGGCAACTTGATGGGTACCTCCCAATGGATGCACGTGGTCAAAGTATCAATCGTAAGGTGCCTGGGGCTCGGCACTTTTGAAAAGACCTAAATTCCTTGAATGAAACGAGAAGCGCGCGTTTCTCTCCAGCCTCAAACTTCCATCTCATCTGCTGCAGCTCATCCTCCCCAATGGCCAGTGCCCTGATGACGCTCTCGCGAGCCGTCTTCACCAAGCCGCGCACCTCTTGCAGACCTGGGGCCAGAGATGCGTTGCTTTGGCATCCGACGTATAGCAACCGCTGCTTGCGCTGCCACTTTCAGGCTCCAACGTTCGAAATCTGCGCGAGCTTCTGGGGTTTCAGCACCCACCTCAATGCACTTGTAAAGATCTTGCTGCTGTTCTGGATGCGGGACGTGCTCTAGACAGCCTTGGCACACTTGCAAGGCGTGGCAAAGATGCCAACATATTGTGATTTGCCCGCTCAACAATCCACAGGCAGTCGCCCCTTGGAAGGCAGGCATGATATTCAAAGAAATGGTTTGGGCCTGTCCAAATAAACTCAGCAAAGCTGCACACAAGAAAGTCATCCACGAAGTCCCGGTGCCCGTCCGTCTGAATGACCACACGGCTGTCGCTGGAGTCTTTCCTTTTTCCATGCCGAAAGGAAGATTTCACCTGCAAGAACGATCGAAAAAAGGTAGACTCGAAAAGGGCTTGAAAACAACAACAAATTGCAGCATCAGTTCGGGCGCTGCCCAAAGGAGTCACTCTCAATCCGAAGTACGGCTCGAACTATGACGATGCTCTGTGCGACAGGTCATGCATGTCCCAAGCGCCTGGAGATACGGCGAACGCCTGTCAACCAGGAGGTTGATGTACTCCTGGCCTGCCTCGCGAAGGTTCCTCATGGTTTGGGAGCACACTTTCTCATGCTCCCGGACGATCGCCTGGACATAATCTCGATAGCAGCAAAGCTGGATGATGCGCTCCTCCTCCACAAATAATGTTGCAAGGTGTTGCAAGGACGTGGAAATGAACCCCCAAACTGCGCGAGAGTGGCTATCACGCGCGTGGTGCAGTGTGATGCCCGCGGTCCTTCAGCTTCTCCTGCACATCCCACTGGCTTTTGCAGGCTCCCTGCTTGTACAGCCGCAAGGAGCCGGTGCAAATGTTGAAGTCGGAGACTCCATCTTTGCACAGCTTGGAGCTTGCCAACAGGATGTCTTGCACTTTATCCACCATGCCTGGGATAGACGTGAGTCAAAGTCAAAAACTCTTGGAATGGCAAGCCCGTCGCTCCACACCTTGAAAACCTGTGAATCACGCCTGATGTGTCACACTTCCAACAGAACGCTACTGTAGCAACGCAAGCTGTACACTTCGACAAAATCAAAGCCGCATGCTTGCATCTCTTTCAGCACGTTCTCCAGAATGCTCATCAACTCATCCTGAACGGGGTAGCCCGCACTATCAAAACCACTCAAAACGCGGCACAAAAGGACTCATCTGTTCGTGGAGGCTCTTTCCTACGAAACTCGCACTACCAAGATTTTCCTGGCGGCTCGGGTGTTGGTGTGTGCCTGTGTGTGTGTGTATTTGGGTTCGCTTGGGCTCTATTGCGCGTAGTCACACACGACTGCGCAATTAGTGCTTGTGGTTGCGTGCAATTCTTCGTATTGCTTGCGCATTTGCACGTAGCTGTGTGTAGTTGGGCCGTGTGCAACTAAGCTCAATTCATTGTAGTTGTGTGTAATTGCGCAAATACGTGTACGATTTTATGCATGGGTGGGTAGGTGGGTAGGTGGGTGGGCGGGCGGGCGGGTAGGGATCGATGGGCGGGCGGGCGGGCGGGCGGGCGGGCGGGCGGGCGGGCGGGCGAGTGGGTGCGCGCGTGCGGGTGGGTGAACCATTATGACGCATTCGACGCAATGGTCATGAGGCACTGCCATGAAGTGTCCTTCTTGTTCTTCAAGACCTCCCTGAAGTTGTGTGCTTCACAGCTGTATCCAGAAGCAAAGTCCTTCAAGACTTGCCGAACCTGACAAACGAGGCAAACAAACGTGTCTGACTGCGCGGAGTCAACACAGAATCCTGTCACCATGCATATGTTCAGTCTTCTGCAATGTCTTCTGCTCTCACTTGGTCATGTTGTCACGCAGCTTCCCTGTCTCTGCAACCACACAGGTTGCAAACAAGGCCCTCAGACTCGCTCAAGCCTGCTCCTCCGTTGTTTCATTGATGACCTCCTTCACGAAGGCATTGCGCATAGTAGTCATCTCCGAGTCTGGGCCAAGGCGGCGCTGAACTTCCTCTGGGCTGCTTGAGGGAGGGGGGGGCAAATGCACACAAACACATTGATCATATTGACCTGATCAGTGTGTATACAGCTCTTTGTCAGACATTGTTTGTCTGAAACATTTATTTCGTGGAGTTTTCGCGACACCATTGCCGTGGACTAGGCTCCGCTTACGGCCGCCATCGCTGGCTGAAAAAGTTGCAACTGTTCAGCCCCAAACTATCTGCAGCTCCGGCTCGCGAGTCAAAGCTTGTTCAATGGGAAATAGTGTGCAAAGTGCTTCGACTGAAACGCTGTTCACCTGATGCTAGAAGTCGTGTGTGTGTGTGTGTGTGGGCTAACTTCAAACTTGTTCGACTGCATTGTTCTTGTAGCAGGCCACATCCCATGAACAGCTCGTGCCAAGTTGAGCTTATTGATTTCGACATAGATCGACCAGCAACAGGCGACACCCAGGTCAAGGCGACCTTCATATCTCCAAAGGGTACAGGCAAAGAGAACATTTGACGCGCGGCTTGACTCATCTTGTCTATCGGAGTGCGTGTTCAAGTCTGTCGACCATGGCTCGGCCCTTTGACGCCGCCGGCTCCTGCTGCGCAAGTCGTTGTCGCTCGTCAACGTCCTCTGCAATTGCTTTCGCTCTTAGCTTTGGCATGATGCAAAGGGTGCCAAAAGACCATCAAAGCGGACCAAAGAAGAAGCAATGGAACTTGCCGCGCGAGCTTGTGTGCAGTCGCAAGTTGCTCGTTTTCGATACGAGCATGATTGGAATGAAGACTCATGCTTTCAATGACCTAAGCAAGGGTCCTCCACAACTCCGAGCAATTGCAGTCTGAACTCTGCCTCCGCCTCTTTTTCGAAGATCCTTCTCACTGCAAACTCCTGTCTTGTCAGGTGTCTCAAACCGCTAACGCTTTCCTTTGCTGGCTATTGACATGGTCATGGTCATGTCGGGAATACGCAGTCCTTCCAATTTTCTTGCAAATGCTTCAAGTAGCCAGCGTCCACGCGAGCCACCAAAGCAAACACCCCAGCAGCCCGCCCTGCGAGGAGGCTTGCGAAGTGCTTCTTGCGGTCTGGGACCATTGGATTTTCAAACCAATCTGCTTCCTGTCGCGTCGTCGCGGCTCACTCTTGACAGTGCTACCCCAAGGCTCTGTCTCGCGATGATAGCTCGAACATTCAACTCAGCCCGCAAGTTGAGTGGAGCAAACCATGTTGCGACCTGTCACCCGAAACGCAGAGTTGCCTGTTTCTGCTGCAAATAGATCCGCTCGAAGTTGTGATGCTTGAAATGCTCTCCATTCGGAGCCCTTAGCGTAGCAATGCCGACCGCATCGCCCAAAAGGACGCCTCAGACCCTGATACTTCTGCCAGTGTCCAAACAATTCGCCGCCGCGGTGCTTCAGCATGGTGGCCACCCATCCGTTGGCCAACTGGATGCCGCCCAAAGATTCAGCTGACTCGCCGTCCTGGAAAAAGGCGGCGAAAAACAAGCTGCGGCAACTTCATCGCGTGAGAAAAATACCCAGGTTGACTAGATGCCATTTCCCACGTCAATACGCTTGTTCCCCAGTGCATGTCAACAATTGTTTCCAGAGCATGTGGACAGTTTTCCGGCACGCTGAACTGAGCAAGCGTGACCAGGACATATGCAAGAAACATCAAATGTTGGTTCCGTCCTCTGTGCACTCGCCAAGGGTCAGCGCACGCAGCGCATCTGCATCATTGTTCTCATCGCATTTTGAGAAGATTCCACACGTGCGGCCCTGGCCACACAAGTTGCATGTGTGCTAAGGCCTGTTGGTAAAAAGTGAAAAGCAACAGCAACTTCCGCGTTTTCACTGATCACTTCCTGGTTACGCATGATAGATTAGCTGTGTTGCGCTTGTTTCAAGAAGTGAACACCAAGAAAAACGAGTTGTTGAAGACGAAACACTATGAGTCTCACGAGCCACATCGCGTCAGACAACGATCACTTTGCCCAAGCCTGGAGCCCGTGCTTCACGATGAACTCCACTGATTTTTTCGTGTGGGGCTGTGCCTGACCTGACGCTGCCACAACAGCTAGGTAGATGCATTGATTGCCATTGGACTTGTCATCATTGAGCTGCTGCTCGTAGATCGCCTCGATCTGCCGAGCCTGGCGTCAGAAGCACACGCGCTTGAGCATGACCGCTGCATTGCTACATGCTTCTCGCTCTCACGCGTGTGCAGCATGCATTCTTCCGCAGAGCAAGAAAGGCTCGAGCGGTTCTGAAACGTTCTCAGCTGGGTCGGTCTTCGGATGGGTTTAGTGGTGGATTTAGCGAGGTTTGCGGGTTCTTGCCGTTCTTGTGAGAAATCGCACAAGTCGCTGGGTCTTAGCCGATTGAACAACCGTGATTTAATGCCGGTGCCAATCAATCAAAGTGCGCCTGCAAACAGGTGTGCAAAGATTACGTGTTTGCTCCCCTCAGAAAGTACAAGGCTGCTCAATGCACTTGAATATGATTTCATACGGGAAAAAAACAAAATCGGCCTTATTCTCTCCAACCCCACCTGTTTGATCATAGTTCGTCTTCTCTATTCCGAATTGAAAACCCCAGAAACAAGTCTGTAACACCAAACTGCAAATTAGTCTTCTAAGCCTTCTTGAAAAGCACCTGGCCAACAATTGTCCAAGGGGGAGTACGGCCGAGCTCTTGATCATGTAATTTTTCAGGACTAAGACAGCAGCAACATTAAGCAACTAATACCAAACCAATAATAAACAGAGACGACCAAAAGGACCGAATAAAACCGACGAGGACCGAAGAGGACCGACAAATATCGACAAATACTGATACCTACCGATACATACCCATACAAAGCCATTTGTGGAGTAGTGCACTGGAACTAAACCAATGCTAAAACAAACTAAACCAACACTAAACTAGTACTAAACCAAAATTAAACCATTGCTGAACCAAAAGCTAAACCAAACTAAACTAATACTGAACCAATGGACTGCTTGGTGGGAGGGGAAACCTGCAAATCTGACCCCAAATTGCTTTCGTGTTTGACACTATTGGGTTCCCTCCTTTTTTTTGGGGGGAAGGGCCCTTCATCTATGAGTCCCACGCATTAGCA